ATTCCTTAATATTTATGTATATCAACCCCTTTTTAAAAATAGCGCATAACTCTTGATTTAGTTATTTGTCTCATCCATTATTATTTTATCAAAGCAACCAGATATCCTGACATTTAAAGCTACTTAACATGTAAACTTTTCAAAATGTCTTGCTGAAGTGTAATTATCTTTGCATTATGGAGCTGACTTTACTTAAATCTGAAGAATGGTGGCTAAAATAGTTCTTAAAAGAATTTTAATGGATGGGTCTGTGGTGAGTGTATTTGTTTGAGTTTTTAACATGGTGAGGAGAAAGCGTCCTTACACCACAAAAAAGAAGTGCAGTTGTTTGCCAAGTATAACATTAGTTCATTTTCAAGTATGTCATTTTTCACTAAGCATAACAAACTAGTCTTAAATTTTAGGTTGTCACTGCTGCCCAAAGTAAAATTAGTGAATTTTTATTTTGAGTTTACCACCTCATTTCCCTTTGTCATTTTTGGTGAGTCACAGTTGATCTTTTGACCTCTCTACCCACAAGAATCTCAGCTGAAAGATGCTTTCCCTGTTGTGAGGCACATTTCTTTCTCTGAAGACCACCTTTTGCCTTGTTTACCACTGGTATGCAAAGCTCTCACAGATACTCCAACAGACCCAACCTGTCTCTGTGACACCTAACTTCCCTAGGATGCAACTCATCTTATGCTTGCTTTGTCAGATTTCTCCCCATCCTCTCCACTCATATACATACCTCCTCACCAAAGACTAATGCTGAGGACATCTAACCTGTCATAAGCTCTGGGTTCAGGATTTCCTAAAATTCTTAGATTTCTCACATTTTCAAGGAACACCACCAAAGGTTCCCGTGTATTTTATTTGGACACCCTTAAATCCTCATTCTCCAGTAAAAGGGCCCTCGACCACCAAGCCATTCACTTCATGAGATCCTTTTTTTTTTTTTTTAAAGATTTTACTTATTTATTCATAGAGACAGAGAGAGAGAGGCAGAGACACAAGCAGAGGGAGAAGCAGGCACCATACAGAGAGCCCGACGTGGGACTCGATCCAGGGTCTCCAGGATCACGCCCTGGGCTGCAGGCATCGCTAAACCGCTGCACCACCAGGGCTGCCCACTTCATGAGGTCCTTGTTCAAGGATTTTATGTTTGTGGTTATGTTTATATTTCTATTTATGTATACACATTTTGAGCATTACTTACTAGAATAGATACAACTCTGAGAATGTAGTCTTTAGGCTAATGCTTAGTTGTTCTCGTTTAGGTCAAAACTCACACCAAAATATTCTTTTTCATCTTTGTAAGATCATTTCTAAAACAGTGTCTCTTCAGCTGTCTCTGACCTTAACTATATATTAAGTTTCATCAGATAATGCTTGATTGTTCCCATATAGGATCTCTAATTTTTTTTTATTATTGTTTAGTTTGCTTATTATTTTCCTCCCAAATTTCTACTCAGCCTTTTTTGATACACTGTTGTAGTATTGAGGGCCCATTTTTCAATAGGTTTATAGCAAACAAAAAATTTAGTAAAGGCTGATCTTTTCCATTTGGAATATTACATGTTTTGTTAAGGCCTCAGGAAAATTTTATGAAGAATTTCTCCCCTCCTATTTTCTATACAGATTACTGCTGATCTTAACCTAGTTTATCTTTACTCTGAATATATACATATGATGAATTTAGGCCTCATGTCTCTTTTCTACTTGTTAATAAAATAAATCTGAGACTTATTTTAGAAAAGATGTTTATTTAACTTAATTCACTTTAGGTAGACAGATAATTTAGTGCCCTTGAGATGCCACAGACAGCTATAGAGAAGCAAAATTGAATATAATCATAAATAGTCACTCCTTGTCAACAAAAAACAGTATTTAGATTTTTGTCTTTTGGAAGGTTTTATTCATCAGGACAAATTTGTTTTATAGTATATTACTAACAGTTGAATGGGCTGGTAGGATTATGAATAAATTTTTAAAAATAATATGCTTAATATCTTTTATAAAAATATAAATATATAAATCTTATTTTTAAAAAGAATGGCTGTATTAGTATTTATCATATTTCAAGTCAATCAGAGAAGGACAAACATTATATGGTCTCATTCATTTGGGGAATATAAAAAATAGTGAAAGGAAATAAAGGGGAAAGGAGAGAAAATGAGTGGGAAGTATCAGGGAGGGAGACAAAACATGAGAGACTCCTAACTCTGGGAAATGAGCAAGGGGTAGTGGAAGGGGAGGTGGGCGGGGGGTGGAGATGACTGGGTGACGGGCACTGAGGGGGGACACTTGATGGGATGAGCACTGGGTGTTATGCTATGCTATATGTTGGCAAATTGAACTCCAATAAAACAAACAAATATAAATAAATAAATACATACATATATACATACATACATACATAAATACAGTTGGCCTTAAAAGAAACAAACAATCCAATCATGAAATGGGCAAAAGACATGAACAGAAATTTCACCAAAGAAGACATACACATGGCCAACAAGCACATGAGAAAATGCTCCGCATCCCTTGCCATCAGGGAAATACAAACCAAAACCACAATGAGACACCACCTCACACCAATGAGAATGGTGAAAATTAAAAAGACAGGAGACAATAAACGTTGGAGAGGATGTGGAGAAAGGGGGACCCTCTTGCACTGTTGGTGGGAATGTGAGCTGGTGCAGCCACTCTGGAAAACTGTGTGGAGGTTCCTCAAAGAGTTAAAAATAGGCCTGCCCTACGACCCAGCAATTGCACTGCTGGGGATTTACCCCAAAGATACAGATACAGTGAAACAGCAGGACACCTGCACCCCAAATGTTTATAGCAGCAATGTCCACAATAGCCAAACTGTGGAAGGAGCCTCGGTGTCCATCGAAAGATGAATGGATAAAGAAGATGTGGTTTATGTATACAATGGAATATTCCTCAGCCATTAGAAACGACAAATACCCACCATTTGCTTCAACGTGGATGGAACTGGAGGGTATTATGCTGAGTCAAGTAAGTCAATCAGAGAAGGACAAACATTATATGGTCTCATTCATTTGGGGAATGTAAAAAATAGTGAAAGGGAATAAAGGGAAAAGGAGAGAAAATGAGTGGAAAATATCAGTGAGGGTGATGGAACATGAAAGACTGCTAACTCTGGGAAACAAGGGGTAATGGAAAGGGAGACTGGTGGGGAGGATGGGGTGACAGGCACTGAGAGTGGCACTTGATGGGATGAGCACTGGGTGTTATATGTCGGCAAATTGAACTTAAATAAAAAATAAATAAATAACTAAATAAAGTTGGCCTTAAAATGGCATCTCTTGTAATAAATGATTAAAAATTAGAGATTATTTATTACTATCTTGATAATCATTTTTTTAAAGATTTATTTATTTATTAGAGAGATTGAGAGACAGACAGTGAGCAGAGGTAAGGGCAGAGGGACAGGAAGACAAGCAGACTCCCCTCTATGCCCGATGTGGGCCTTGATCCCAAGACCCTGAGATCATGACCTGAGCTGAAATCAAGAATCAGACGCTAAGCCACCTAGGTGCCCCTATCTTGATGATAACTTTTAAAGATTTTTGTCTAAAATGGAATTTAATGTGTATAGTTTATCTGCTTTTAAATACTGGCTAGACATTTCCCATCCCCAGCTTTATTGAGGTATGATTGACAAATAAAAATTATATATATTTAGGTTGTACATGATTTTTTTTAAAAATACAGTGTGATGATGTAACATACATATATTGAGTAGATTTTTTTCTTGATCAAACATGAATTTATCTTTTGACTTAAAATTTAATCTAATTTTAAGAGTCATTATACTTTAATGTTTAAATTTGAAACTTATGGATTATTACAGTTAGAATATCCTGTTTTACTTATCTGTATTTTGATAAGATTTTAAACATCAGGACTACTTTGTGGTTATATAACTTATGATAGTGTTCTTACTACATGAAATTAGCTGTATCTAGTGAAAACTTCTTTTAGTCAAGACACACATCGATGCTTCTTTAAAATGAACAAGTTATTTTTGGCCAACTGGCATCTAGACACAGTTTCATTTTTCAAGGAAAAGTAATTGAGAAATGGAAGCTACCTTTCAACAACTGGAACATGGCCACATTCTAGATTCTTACCAATCTTCTCTGATGACACCAGGCTGTGAAAATAAAACTACCTTGGTAAAACTGATAGGTAATTTTCTCAGGCTCATAGTCCCAGATCCAGCATGTTGGTAGGTTTTTTTTCTCCTCGGTCTTTATTTTAAAGGACTACAAGGGGGATCCCTGGGTGGCGCAGCGGTTTGGCGCCTGTCTTTGGCCCAGGGCGCGATCCTGGAGACCCGGGATCGAATCCCATGTCGGGCTCCCGGTGCATGGAGCCTGCTTCTCCCTCTGCCTGTGTCTCTGCCAATCTCTCTCTCTCTGTATGACTATCGTAAATAATAAAAAAAAAATAATAATAATAATAAAAAAATAAAAAATAAAGGACTACAAGGAATGCCTAAGAGAAAAATATTTGGATATCACCTCACTTGGAAAAAAAGCTAATCTGGTTGTATGCAGTTCCTCTTAATCCTGAATCTCTTCCTTTACCCTTCCCAGATGAGCTATCAGCATTCATAATACAGTGTTCCTCTTTTTGAAATTATATGATCTTATGAATTTTTGTTTTTCCATGGCATTTCTTTGTTGTCAGTAACTTAGAATACAGTGATTAAATAAATAAATTTTTGTACAGAGAATTATAAATTTACTCAATAAATATAATATGTGCCAAATTCTGTAATAATAATATATGCCAAAAACTAGGCTAGGAGCTGGGAATACAAATGTAAATAGAATACATATTCCTAGCCATCAAAGAGCTCATATTCTAGGATGATTTTTAGCTGTATTCAGCATACCTAAATGTCTGTGCATGTACAGACCCTTCTTTGTGAAAACTGCAGCTGACCTTCTCTTGTTGAAAAATTAACACATTGTTTTGTTAAGGTAAAACTGACATTTGAAAATGCATATGCTGTGAAAAAGGAAACAACTCAACCAAGACAGAAAAAGGCACAGTCTAACACAAGTGATTTAGTCAAACTTCTATGGGGAGAAGAAGTTGAAGGTATCCAGCAAAATATCCTAAACACTCCTCACATCGTTATGTATCTCACACTGCAGCTTGACTCAGAAACATCAAAGGAAGAGGTGAGTGCTTTCTCAAAAGTGCAAAGAAAGAGAATAAGACTCTTTTATAGCCTTTCAAGTGAATAATCACTTTTTTCAGTTATTCTTTGTCTTTATGATTTTGATATGTCTCTTACACATAGCAAGCAGTCTTCTGACAAGCCTAATTGAATCCATTTATACAGATTATCCTGAAATATTGGAATTTGTTTCTACCATGTTCTTTAAAGAATTCTTTTTGAGCTACTTATTCCATAGTATTTTTCTTCTCTATCATTGGTTGCTCTATGCTCTATTTTTTTTGGTGATTGCTCTTAAAATCTTATATTTGTCTTAGCAGATTCTATACACTACCTTAACTCTTTTTCAAAATAATTCAAGGCCCTTAGTACACCTTATTTCCAACTATCCACTCTTCACATACTATTTTCCTCAGCATTTTAGTGCTATCATTTTTTAAAAAGATTTATTTTTATTTACTTTAGAGAGAGAGTGTGTACACGCACGAGAAGGGATTAGGGAAGTGGGGCAGATGGAGAGGGAGAGAGAGAATCTTAAGCAGGCTCTACACCCAGCTCAGAGCCCAATGTGGAGCTCAGTCTCAGGACCCTGAGATCATGACCTGAGCTGAAATCAAGAGTCAGATGCTTAACCGACTGAGCCACCCAGATGCCCCATGCTGTTATTCTTTAATTTCAGAAATTGGGGATAATTATACTAGTCCTACTACTATTTATTATTATTCTACTATATACATTATAAAACATGTAAGTAATACATTATAAAATGTACGGTTTATGCATTATACTTCAAACAAACCTTTAAATTTACACAAATTCTACCATTTTCTTTACTCACTATTCTTTCTTCCATTTCAGACTTTCCTTATTTGATCATTTTTCTTCTTCTTAAGACATATTTTAGGCATTTCTTTATAGTGAAAGTCTCTTGATGGTGAATTCTTTTTGTTGTTACTTACCCGATAGTGTTTTTTTCACCTCTTCTTGAAAGGTGCTTTGTAATTCTACATTGCATTAGTCAGAATAGGCCAATTGCTGTAACAACCCTGATGTCTCAGTGGCTTAACATAATAGGAGTTTATTTCTCATTTCAATATAAATGTTCCTGCTCATGTGGCTCAGTGGTTGGAGCCCTTCATCTAGCAGTTCCATGATTTCCAAAGGCTTCAGAGTCCTCCATTGGATTGTTTGCATCTAGTTCACCAAGGAGAAAAGAGAAAAAGCATCTAATATCCCATGAGACAGTTCTTCAGAGTCCTAGCTTAAACCACTTCTGCCCATGTTCTAGTGCCTAGAACTAGTTATATGAACTTCTCTCAATGCAAGGTGGTAAGAAAATGTAGATTTTCTATGTAGTGAGGAAGAAGATGAAGTTGACACATGGCATTGCTTATTCAGGTAGAATGTTATTTTCTCTAATCTCTTTGAAGATAGTATTCCTTTGTCTTCTGATTTAAGTAATTGCGGTTAAGTCTACCATCAGTCATTCCTCTATAAGGAATCTTTTATTTTCTTTGTTTGATTTCTTGCTTCTGCTATGTTCAAACTGTTTTTAATCTCTCTATTGTGTTTTCTATTTTAAAAATCTCATTTTTAGGAGTTCCTGAAAAGTCTTTTTTTTTTAATTTTTATTTATTTATGATAGTCACAGAGAGAGAGGCAGAGACACAGGCAGAGGGAGAAGCAGGCTCAATGCACCGGGAGCCCGACGTGGGATTCGATCCTGGGTCTCCAGGATCACGCCCTGGGCCAAAGGCAGGTGCCAAACCACTGTGCCACCCAGGGATCCCCCTGAAAAGTCTTTAATCTACATTTCAAATCTGCCATATTCCTGGTCATATTCCATATTGCCTAGTCTCTTGTTGCTTGCTTGTCTTAGTGTGATTCTATACTTTATTTCTCTAAGTATTTCATACATATTCTGTGTTCTTTTCTATTCTGTATCTGCCCATTCTTCCATCTCTAAGTCCTAAGAGGACTCTGATGTGTGGTGGTTTGCCTTCTTGTGTCCTTGATGATCACCGACTAGACTTACTACTCGATTTTATCTCTGGGAGTCCTATGATTGGAAAGTGGGAAAGAATTCCTCCAGAGAGAATTTGCTTCCTCTGTTTCTGCTACTGACCTAGGGTACTTCAGGCCTCTATAAGAGTCCGGGTTTAACACAGTGGTCCTAGGTTAGCCCAATACTCAGTGCCCTGGTTGACACTATTGTAGGCATCAACCCTCAAGACATCCCTGCCTCTGTCCTTCTGCCCACCAGTCCCAGCTGAGGGATGGGATTGAAGTAAAGAGAATTTGCTTGCTTTGCAGCTTGCAAAGCAGTTCCAGGGAAGGGGATTGAAAGGGTATGGAGAAGATGTCCTTAGAAGCCTCTCTACTTCTTACATATGCGGCAGTTCAACAAGTTGTGTTCTAGCCATAACTCTATTTGTTTTACAGCATGAGGGTCTCTCAAAGCATTTACTTTACCATAATGCTTCAAACAGAAGTGAGATCTAAGAAGTTTTTACTAATTTACATTTCTTTGCTCCTGAAGTCCTTGCAGGCTCTATTCTCATTGCCAAAGCCATTTTATCCAAGGCGTGCATTTCCTTGTGTTGCATCTTCGTATAACAAAATTTCATCAGTAACTGAAATGGAAAAGAAGGGATTTACTTACATGTATTTTTTGTAATTTTCTGTGTTCTGAAAATATAGGGACCTAAAATTAATTATTCTGAGTTCTTGCATGTATTAATTGTCTTTTATACTTTTAAAACAAGTGAGAAAATTAACTATTTATTCTATAAAACACACAACAAAATTCTGGGATGGTAGCACCCTGAAACTTAATAGGTCATCTTGAAACAGAATACCACTGAGGCCTTTTGTCATCTTTGCCTTTCTTTCCATGGGAAAATGTGTAGATGTTTCTCAAATGAACAGGTCTCTGTCTGCTGACAGCTCTCTATCAACACTATAATTAGGAGAGGCTTTTTATTCTTACTGTACAGAGTGGGAGCTGCTGCAAATGCATGCTACTAACAAGTACCTAAAAATACAGCTAATTAAATTGATTAGGAACTGTAGAGTATGCCAGGTCCTTAATAGTAAGGCTTTCTGGGCTGGTTGCTGCAGAGGTGGAAAAAAGAGTTATAAGATTTGGAAATTTCAAGAACCTAATCAAAGACTACTATATAGTTATTTGTTTAAAGTGGTATTTAATATTTGGCTAAATGCAATGTGTATATACTATTCAAGGTTTAAATATGTTAAGTAAGCATGACTGAAGATCTTAACTGATGTTTGGCTTAATTTCTAAAGACAAAATTTTTATAACTGTTTTTATCTTAGAAATATTGCAAGAAAATTTGAGTGTTAGGCAGAGTGTATTTGACCAACATATTCTATAGCAATTTGCATGTACTGAATGTGCTTAATAAGTATTAAAAAAAGGTGTGTCCAGTTTATCATTTATATTTGTCCTAATGTAAAAGTTGCCAAGACATGGACACTAAGTCAACATAATTATTTCTTGTAAAGAGAGACCAAAACAAGATGTAGAAAACGCTTTAGAGAGAGAACCAAGGAAAAAATGTATTTTAGGAGTTTGGGCTTTCCATAGTAGCTGTATTAATATTTAGGGATATTAAATATTGAATAGCATTACTGGGAGCTACTCCGAATTCTCTATGGTTTCTATTTAGAAATTTTTATATTGCCAGCTTTTAATTTGCCTTGTGAGAAAAACAGCATGTTGTTTTAAGTCATAACAAAAAAGTGAGATACAGACTGATTCATCCTTTTGTATAGAAGTTCTAGCACAATGCACATCCTGATTTTGAAATTTATTTTGTGAAGCTGTTTACTGGGAACATGCTCTTCTTAAAAATAAAAAAAATATTAAGTTTTTAAAAATTATCTTCTAGATCTATTTTTTTCCATAATTTTTTTTAAATTTTTATTTATTTACGATAGTCACACACAGAGAGAGAAAGAGAGAGAGGCAGAGACACAGGCAGAGAGAGAAGTAGGCTCCATGCACCGGGAGCCCGACGTGGGATTTGATCCCGGGTCTCCAGGATCACGCCCTGAGCCAAAGGCAGGCGCTAAACCGCTGCGCCACCCAGGGTTCCCTTTTCCATAATTTATAATGTGCTTTCTTTAAAAGTTTGAACTCAGATTAATTTGTGGTAGGCAAACACTTTTAAATATAAGACAGATATTATAACATCATAATACTACTTTCTATCTGTGCTACTATAATTTTATATACTTAGTTTGTAAATTTAACTGTAGTATTGTCTTGGGTTTAAGTAAAGATTTAATGATGATTTCACCAAAGATGATGAAGATCATCTTTTAAATGTCAATAAGGAAAGTAGTTAAATTTAAAGACTCTCATAGTTACATGTGGCATCTGTGTAGATATGCTACCAGAGGAGATACGAAAATTTGTATAATGAAAAATATTATTATGAGAGTTTATTGTAAAGGAGATTAAAGTTTAAAACAGTGAAATTACTTGAATTATTCTAACTAATCATTGTCCTACTCAGTATATGTTTTGGTATTATAACCAGCTTTGACAGTCTGTAACTTACTTTCAGACGTAGTGTTTTAAATACTAGGTAATGTGTTAAAATTCCAGACATAGTTCCCTCTTTGTGTTTGTTTGGATTAAACTACCTCTGAAGTTGAAAGGATTCGTTTTTTTGTTCTTTTCTTAATAGTAAAATCTGAACTTTCCATTACCAAAATAATGGTTGAAATATATGGGGGGTTGATCATTTGTGTTTGTTTTCATTTAATAGCAGGAAATTCTTTATCATTGTCCAGTATCTGATGCATCTCAGAAACTTAAAAATGTGAGAGGAATATTTCTTACACTCTGTGACATGTTGGAAAATGTAACTGGGACACAAGTTACTAGGTAAGAATTGATTTTAATTTAACTTTAATTCTATTTCTTGCAAGTTCTGTACCTTGGTTCTGACAAAATACTAAGATAAGTGTCTATTATACAAATATACTTATATCTATCATATAGATAACTATACAGCAAATGTGATATCTGCAGGTATTTTGTTTCTCACCGAAGTTATTTCTACCAGTCACCTATATAGAGGTATAGGTTCTCCATACAGCTGTAGATGGGGTGTTTTGGCACACTACATAGCAGAGTTGGACAAATCACCTATAGTTTAGAATTTATTCATGAATGTGGTATGTCTTAAGCATGGCATTATGTTGAGTCTAGGCTTTTACATATTTTTCTCTTGATTATTAACTTGCTAGGCAATACTTTTTTGATTGGTAAAAATGACTGAACACTGAATTTTTCTTGTAGTTCAAAATAGTCTGTTTACAACTATGACAGAAAAAGAAAACATAAACACTTTAAGAAGAGGAGTCAGAATGCAGTATTACCTGTGCAAGTTCACTCAATGATAAAAAAGCAAGACTTCTGTGAAATAACCTTTGGAAAAACAGAATACACCATATAGTCAGTTATAGAGCCACATATCCCATTCCACATTGATTTATTAAGCCCTGACTTTGAAATGCCACATTTAAGTTATGGGAGGAGAGTGCTCAAAACTTTTGAGTTTGTTTTTGTTTTTGTTTTAATAAAATCTAGGGATTACAACCCGTTTTTCTTTCTTAACTCAACAATTTTAGGCTTTACAAAAACATTATCTCAGATTTTAAGAGCCCCATAATACATAAAATATAAAGTTGGATTTTTTAAGGCTTTAACTTTTACCGTCTTCTGATAAAAATGACACTTCTGTGATTTTAAAAGATAAGATCTGCAATACAGTAGAAAGAATTCCCTTGTTTTCCTAAATAAAAGTTATATTTAATCATAGGGCTCATTTTTAAGACTTTAGTAACTGAGGCTACATTTAGTGTCTAAATTTGCATTCAAAAAAACATGTTGAGTGAAATCTTATGATACTTTTTTTTCTCTAACTTATTTAGCTCCATCTACATCATTGCAAATGGCAAGATTTTTATTTTTTATGGCTGAGTAATATTCCATTTATATACACATCCCCACACACACATCTTTTCTATCCATTCATCAGTCAATGGACATTGGGAACTTTTCATAATTTAGCTATTGTAGATAATGCTGCTATAAATATCAAGGTATATGTATCATTTTTGAATTTGTGGTTTTGTATTCTTTGGGTAAATACCTAGTAGTATAATTGCTGGATCATAGAGTAGTTCTATTTTTAACTTTTTGTGGAACTTCCATACTGTTTCCCAGTGTATCTGCACCAGTTTGCATTCCCAACAGTGCAAGAAGTTTCCCTTTTCTCCACCCCAAGCACCTATTGTTTCTTCTATTGTTGATTTTAACCATTCTGACAGGGGTGAGGGGATACCTCATTGTAGTATTGATTTGGATTTCCCTGATGGTAATTTATGTTGAGCATCTTTTCATGTGTCTGTTGCCCATCTGGATGTCTTCTTTGGGAAAATGTCTATTCATGTCTTTTGCCCATTTTTTTTGCCCATTTTTTAATTGGTTTATTCATTTTGGGGGCATTCAATTTTATAAGTTCCTTATAGATTTTGGATAGTAATCCTTTTTCAGATATATCATTTGCAAATATCTTCTCCCATTCTTCCATAGGTTGCCTTTTAGTTTTATTGATGGTATCCTTTGCAGCTTTTTATTTTGATGATATCCCCCCAATAGTTTATTTTTACTTTTGTTTCCCTTGCTAAGGAGACCTATCTAGAAAAATATTTCTACAACTGGTGTCAAAGGAGTTATTGCTTATATTTTTTCCTACTTTTATGATTTCAGGTCTCACATTTAGGTCTTTTTTTTTTTTTGAAGATTTTATTTATTTATTCATGAGAAACATAGAGAGAGGGGCAGAGACATAGGCCAAGGGAGAAGCAGGCTCCCCGCGGGGACCCTGATGCAGGACTCAATCCCAGGACCCCAGGATTATGACCTGAGCCAAAGTCACAACCACTGAGCCATCCAGGTGTCCCGCACATTTAGGTCTTTAATCCAGTCTGAGTTATTTTTGTGAATGGTGTAAGGAAGTGGTCCAGTTTCATTCTTTTGCATGTAGCTGACCAGTTTTCCCAATAACATTTGTTGAAGACTATCTTTTTCCCTATGGATATTCTTTCCTCTTTGTTAAAGATTAACTGACCATATAGATGTGGGTTCATTTCTGCATTTTCTGCTCTGTTCCACTGATCTATATGTCTGTTTTTTTGGCAGTACCAAACTGTTTTGATCACTACAGCTTTGTAATATAACGTGAAGTCCATAACTGTGATGCCTCCTGCTTTGCTTTTCTTTTTCAAGATTGTTTTCATTATTTAGGATCTTTTGTGGTTCATAAAAATTTTAGGATTGATAGTTCTAGCTCTGTGAAAAATGCTGTGGTATTTTGATAGGGATTGCATTAAATGTATCGATTGTAGGATAGACATTTTAACAATATTTGTTCTTTCCATCCATGAGCATTAAATGTCTTCCCATTTCTTTGTGATGTCTTCAGTTGCTTTCATCAGTGTTTTGTAGTTTTCATAGTACAGGTCTTTTACATCTTTGGTTAGTTTTATTCCTAGGTATCTTATGGGTTTTGGTGCAATTGTAAATGGGATTGATTCCTTAATTTCTTCTGCTGCTGCTTCATTATTGGTGTAGAGAAATGCAACATATTTCTGTATGTTGATTTTGTATTCTGCTGATACACTGAATTAGTATATCAGTTGAAGCAGTTTTTTGGTGGAATTTTTTGGGTTTTCAATACAGAGTATGATATCATCTGCAAATAGTGAAAGTCTTACTTCCTCCTTGTTGATTTGGATGCCGTTTATTTCTTTTCGTTGTGTAATCGCTGAGGCTTGGACTTCCAGTACTATGTTAAATAACAGTGATGAGAGTGGACATCCCTGTCTTGTTCCTGGTAGTAGAAGAAAAGCTCTGTTTTCCCCTTTGAGGATGATAATTAGCTGGGTTTTTTCTTATATATGGCCTTTATGATATTGAGGTATAGTCCCCCTAAACCTACTTTGTTGAGGATTTTTATCATGAGTGAATATAATACTTTGTCAAATGCTTTTTCTGCATCTACTGAAATGATATGGTTCTTATCTTTTCTTTTATTAATGTCATGTATCAATCACATTGATTGATTTCCAATATTGAACCACCCTGGCAACCCAGGAATAAATCCACCACTTAATCATGGTGAATGCTTTTTTTAAGTGTATTGTTGGATTTGGTTTCCTAGTAGTTTATTGAGAATTTTTGCATCTATACTTATCAGAGATATTGGCCTGTATTTCTCTTTTTTAGTGTAGTCTTTATCTTTGCAATGACATGGATGGAGCTAGAGAGTATTATGCTAAGCAAAATAAGTCAGAGAAAGACAAATACCAAGTGACTTCACTCACTTGTGAAATTTAAGAAACAAGCGAGCAAAGGGAAGGTAAAACGAGAGAGAAAAGCAAAGAAACAAACTCTTAACTACAGAGAACAAACTGCTGGTTACCAGGAGGGACATAGTAGGGAGGGGGTGGGCTAACTAGGAGATGGGGATCAAGCAATGCACATGTTATCATGAGCTCTGGGCAATATATGGAAGTATTGAATCCCTATATTGTACACCTGACACTAATATTACAGAGTATATTAAATAACTGGAATTTAAATAAAAATCTAACAACTAAAAAAAATAGTGATGGTAATGCCTAGAGGATTAGATTAAAAGAATCATAATGTCTAGCAAATAGTATGCATTTGACTATAATAAAAATAACAGTAATAGTAAAAAATAATACATTTCAGCATTAAAGGAAATCATATAAATTAATGATGTGGGAAAAAAAACATATTACTGAACTCCTTTTGTTTTTTTAAACAGCTTTATTGAGATATAGTTCATTTATCTTACAGTTTGCCCATTTAAAGTGCATGATTTGGTGATTGTATATTTGCAGATATGTGCAACCATCATGAGAGTCAATTTTAGAATATTTGCATGCCATGCAAAAAAAAACAAAAACAAAAACCTGTACTGGACATTTCATGTGAATGAAATCATAATATGTGGTTACTTGTGATGCTTCTCAGTATGATGTTTTCAAGGTGCAGGCCTCCATTTTAATCTTTTTGGAAATAAAATTTGTTTTAAGTTTCTCCGTGTGGATTTGATTTATTTCTTTTTACTTTAAAGGGTAGATGTTATTTGATATTTAGGTCTTGTTATTAATGATAAGATATTGATTAAACATGTGGGAAACTAAAAATAGGTAGAAAATTTTTTTTGGAAACAATAAATATGAAAATGACTCCTTAGCAATATGTGTGTCTTATTGTACACACTATTTTAAATCTATAGTGATATTAATGTATGACTATACAAAGAATCTAATATTTGTCAAAAAGCATATATATATGTAAGCTTTATTAAGGCAAAAGTAATATTCCTTTTGAAAAAAGTCTATTTAGCAATTCATGTTTAAAATCTACACACTGATCTATTGCAGTATAAAAGGTACATTATATCCAAAGGACTCAACAAATAAAACCTAATACATGTATTCTCATTTAAAGAAATAAAACACTGAATATGTGTTTATTTTCTTTTCTTCCCACCACCTACTCACACTACAGGATGGAATCATTATGCTCTCTATGATTTCATAGTTCATTACTATATCTCTTTAAAGAACATATTTAATTTGTTTTCCAACTTGATTAAAGTACAGTAAATTGCATATATGTAAAATATACAATCTGATGAGTTTTGACAGAGATGTATAGACCCTGAAACCATCATCACAATGAATATATACATTATTCTAAAAGTTTCCTTGAGAGAGATGCCTGGGTGGCTCAGCAGTTGAGCCTCTGCTTTCGGCTCAAGGCATGATTCCAGGGTCCGGGATCGAGTTCCGCATCGGGCTCCTTGCAGGAGAGCCTGCTTCTTTCTCCCTCTGCCTATGTCTCTGTGTCTCTCTCACTCTCTCTGTATCTCTCATGAATAAATAAATAAAACTTTTTTTAAAAAAAGTTCCCTTGAGAACATGTTTAAATCTGACTTACATTTTAGTTACTTGTTTATTTATCTGTGTCCTGTATTGAATTATTATCTTGTGAGCCGAGACCGTGTCTTCCTTTCTTTGTAGTTTATCTTAATAAATCATGTTCATAAATAAGCAGTGAGAAAATATTTGTTAAATTGGCATACTAGGATCCCTGGGTGGCTCAGCGGTTTAGCACCTGCCTTCGGCCCAGGATGTGATCCTGGAGTCCCAGGATCAAGTCCCACGTCGGGCTCCCTGCATGGAGCCTGCTTCTCCCTCTGCCTGTCTCTCTCTCTCTCTCTCTCTCTCTCTCTCTCTCTCTCTCTTTCTCTCTGTGTGTGTGTCCCTCATTAATAAATAAATAAAATCTTTAAAAAAAATTGGCCTACTATTGGAAACTTTCTTTTGAGAAAAATAGCATACAATCACCTAATGTTAGTGAAAGAATTTCAGTACTTATTACTGTAATAGGTCTACTTTTGTTTGACCTAGAGCTTTTTGTAGGTTTTAAAAAAATATTTCAGGGTATATTTTTGTTGTTATATAATTACTTGTCTTTTCTTTGTGGCAGTTAGGTATATGCCAAGAAATTTGCTTCATTAAGCATGCAGTTCTTAAACCATGTGTAATCTTTTATGAGTGACTTTATAATTTTATGACATTTAAGATATTCTAACTTTACTTTCACTCTATTTTTTCTTAGCTCATCCCTTCTTTTGAATGGGAGACAAATCCATGTGGCTTATTGGAAAGAATCTGACAAGTTGTTGCTAATTGGCCTGCCTGCTGAAGAGTAAGTTGAGACCTTTTTTTTTTAACCTTAAAATCATTTCTAAAATACTGCTAACAAAGTCTGTTTCATTAAAGTTATGCCATTTTTGTCAAAAACAAACTCCTTCAAACAGTTTTACCGTTTAAAGATTTGTTGCAACAGTGCGGTAGCTACCATGTTAATTTAGAATTAAGAATACAGAGAAGGGGCACGAAGGTGGCTCAGTTGGTTAAGTGTCCAACTCTTGATTTCGGCTCAGGTCATGAATTCAGGGTCCTGGGATCAGGCCATGCTCAGGTTGTGTGCTGAGCATGGAGCCTGCTTGAAATTTTCTCTTCCTTTGCCATTTCTTCTACTTGCTTGCTCTCATTCTCTCTCAAAATAATTAATTCATTAAAAACAGAAAAGTGGTGGGAACAATTAGTAAGGCAGGGCTTTTAATACATTTCCTTCTGAGATTTGGCCAGTAGAGAGGTGGCTGAGAGAAGACCTCCTCTGCTCAAACTTTTGACAAGATTGTGATTTGGATTTTATGTGTTCACAGTTTTTTACTGTTGGGAATTTTGGAGAACTAAAGGTCAAGCAGAAATTTCGGTATTTGGCCCTGATATTCAGCACCTTTGGCAAAATACATTTGACCCTTGAACAATATGGGTTCGAATTGCATTGATCCACTTATATGTGGGGTTTTTTCAATAAATATTTTGAAAGATTTTTTTGGAGATTTGTAACAGTATGAAAAAACTTAAAGATGAACTGTGTAGCCTAGTAATATTGAAAAAATTGTGAAAAAGGTATAATATCATGAATGCATTAAATACATGTAGATACTAGTCTTTCTTATTATCATTACTACCATACAATATACATAAGTCTTATTATTAAAAGTTAACATTTATCAAAACTTACTCATACAAACACTTAGATGGAGCAGTTCACAGTTGAGAGAAATGTGAACAAATGTAAAGATGCAGTATTAAATCATAACCACATAAAATTAACTATATTGCACACTGCTGTAATAATTTTGCAGCCACCTCCTATTGCTATTACAGTGAGCTCAAGTCTTATGATTATCTGCTTGCAACTCTCTGTGACACTGATCATCTCCATGTGACCAGTTGGTCTTTCCAGTAAATTGTATATTACAGTAAAAAAAGTGATTTCTCACAGTTCTTGCATATTTTTCATTGTGTTTAGTGTTAGTGCAATACTGTAAACCTTGAATAACACCATGAGACTCATATGAAGTGCTAGTAGTAATGCTAGAAGTGCTTCCAAGAAGCAGAGAAAAGTTATGACATTACACGAAGTCAAATTACTTGATATATACTGTAGATTGAGGTCTGCAACTGCAGTTGCCCGCCATTTCAAGATAAATAAATCCAGCATGTGGGCCATTGTGAAAAAGAAAAGGAAATTCATGAAGCTGTCATTGTAGTTATGCCAGCAGGTGCAAAACACTGCACTTTTTGTGATATATCTTTTTATCTTGTATTGAAGATGCAGCTTTTATGTAGGCATAGGATTGCTATGAGAAAAGCACACTTATAGACTCTAATATGATTTGAGAAAAAATAGTCATTATATGACAACTTAAGGCAAAAATAAGGTGAAGGATCCAAAGTGGAAGAATTTAATGCCAGCAAAGGACAGCTTGACAATTTTACAAGGAGGTTTAGTTTAAAAAATGTCAAGACAGCAGGAGAAGCAGGTTCTGCTGATAAGAGACAAAAGATGAGTTCCCAGATGCCATTAAGAAAACCAGTAGGGGATCCCTGGGTGGCGCAGTGGTTTGGCGCCTGCCCAGGGCGTGATCCTGGAGACCCGGGATCGAATCCCACATCGGGTTCCCGGTGCATGGAGCCTGCTTCTCCCTCTGCCTGTGTCTCTGCCCTCTCTCTCTCTCTCTCTCTCTCTCTCTCTCTCTCCCTCCCTCTCTGTGACTATCATAAATAAATAAAAATTAAAAAAAAGAAAAGAAAGAAAACCAGTAAGAGGGCAGCCCCGATGGCGCAGCGGTTTGGCGCCGCCTGAAGCCCAGGGTGTGATCCTGGAGACATGGGATCGAGTCCCACATCGGGCTCTCTGCATGGAGCCTGCTTCTCTCTCTGCCTGTGTCCTACTGTGTCTCTGCCTCTGTGTGTGTGTATCTCTCATGAATAAATAAATTTTAAAAAATTCTTAAAAAACAAAAGAAAAGAAAACCAGTAAAAGAAAGGATATCTGCCTCAAGGTTTTTAATACCAACAAAAGTGTCCTATTCTGGGGGGAAAAATGTTGGTTGCATAGGACATTAGTGAAGAAGAAAAGTGAGCACCAAGATATAAGGCAGGAAGGAATAGGCTAACTGCTGTTTTGTGCAACTACAGTCAAATCAGGACTGCCCTTATCTGTAAAGTTCCTAAACCCCAAACCTTGAAGGAAAAAGATAAACACCTGCTGCCAGTCTTTTGGTTGTATAGCAAGAAAACCTGGACAGTGAGAACCCTTTTTCTGGAGTGGTTCCATTGAAACTTTGTCCCTAAAGTCAGGAAATACTTTGCCTTTGAAAATTCTTTTGATATTGGACAATGACCCTGGCCACCCAGAACCCCATGAGTTCAACACCAAAGATTTTAATATATTGCCCCCCAAACACAACATCTCCAATTCAGCCTCTAGGGCTCCTTACACATGGTACTCTATGGAAAGGATTGTCAATGCTATGGAAGAGAACCTCAATGGAGAGAACATCATGAAAGTCTGGAAGGATTACACCATTGAAGATGCCATTGCTGTTGCGGAAAAGGCCATGAAAGCCATCAAGCCCGAAACAATAAATTCCTGCTGGAGAAGATACTGTGCATGACTTCACAGGATTTCTGACAGAGCCAGTCAAGGAAATCATGAAAGAGATTGTGGATATGGCAAAAAGGGGGGCAGGCCAGGGGAGGTGAAGGGTTTCAAGATAGAGATCTTAGAGAAATTCAATAGCTAATAGAGGGATCCTACACCAGAGGGATGAATAAAAGATGACTTGATGGATGGAAATGAGTACTTCTGAACCAGTGCTAGATGCTGAGGGAGAAGACATAAAAGAAGCAGTGCCAGAAAACAAATGGATACTAGACAATCTGGCAGAAGGGTTCTGATTTTTCAGGACTGCTTTTGACTTCTTTTATGACGTGGACCCTTCTATGATATGGGCATGGATAATAAAGCAAATGGTTTAAGAAGGCTTGATATCATACAGGGATGTTTTCAGAGAAATGAAAAAGCAGAGAAATTACCAGATATTTCTGTAAAGTTACACTGAGTGTGCCTGCCTATCCTTTCACCTCCACATCTTGCCTCTTCCACTCCTGAAACCACAAGACCAACCCCTCCTCCTCCTCAGCCTACTCCATATGAAGATGATGAGAATGAAGATCTTTATGATGACCCACTTTCACTTAATGAATAACAAGTAATCATCATACATATAGCTAATAAACGTATCTGTTATACATATATGTGTCTTCATTTGAAAATCTAGTAATTGTACAGCAAGAACTGTGTCATCATCATCATCTAAGTAGACATCCTGTAGACCACCACGTATAAGACTCTGGTGGAAGGGAATAATCTATCCTTAGGGTGATTGATATTTAATATAAAATTAATAATGTGTTAGTTTTCTTACTGTTTTATAACTTTGTTTTCAAAAAATTACATGACCAAATAGTATGCCTCTCTTTCTTATAATGGGGGAAAACTGCATATCAATCTATCATCATAGGTAAGTGACTTTTTAAAAAAAATGTAAGCATTTCCAGTACTGTATTATGAATATAACATGGTATACCCTAAAAATGTTATGATTCGTTCTCTAGTGTATGGGTTAGGCTGTCATGAAGCAACACTGTCAATTACACTAGGCTACCATAAAGTAATCATGTTGCTCCTGCTTCATTATCAATGCACGAATTGTATGTAAATAAATATGAATTTATTTTTAATATCTTTTCATTTTGGACATCTAGTGTTAGTAATACATGTAACATCTATAGTTTTTTATATTATAGAAGACAGTATTGACATAGGAACTAGCAAATAGATGATTCATCTTAAACAGATGATACAAACTTATGGCATTTCTCTTATAATTTTCTTAATAATGTTTTCTCTAGCTTGCTTTATTGTAAGAATACAGTATATAATACATATGACATACAACATATGTGGTAATCAACTGTTTATGTTGTCAATAAGGCATCCAGTCAACAGTAGGCTATTAGTACTTAAGTTTGGGAGGAGTTAAAAAGTTATATTTGGATTTTCAACTGCCTGGGGTGTTGGGACCCCAACCCCTGCACTATTCAAGGGTCAGCTGCAACAAATATTTAACTTTAAAGTGATTTCTCAGGGCGCATAGGTGGTTCAGTCAGTCAAGCATCTGCCTTTGGCTCAGGTCATGATCCCAGGGACCTGGGATCCAACCCCGCATCAAGCTTTCTGCTCAGTGGGGGTCTGCTTCTCTCTCCTTCTCTGTGCTCACTCTCTTTCTTTCTCTCTCAAGTAAATAAAAAAAATATTTTAAAAAAATAGAGTAACTTCTCTAATGTTTTGTCTTAATTATCATGTTCTCCTTTTTAACTTTTTGTATGTATTTTGAAATATATCTTATTTTTATAGTTCAAGGTAAAAACTGGGTTGGCATTTATGATGAGCAGACCATGAACCCAAGGACTGCATTGGGTACTTTACATTCATTAATCTCATTTAATCTTTAAAATCGGCTCCAGATGTACTTCATGATCTCTGGCCCCATTTTATAAATAAGGAAAGTAAAACCAAGAGAAGATTAAATAACTTGCCAAAGGTCACATTACTGGCAAGAAACAGAATTGGTAATTGAAGGAGAGTCTGAATTCTTTCTACTACATTACTTCCCTAATGTCACAAGACACTAAAAGCTGAGGAGAAATGGAATAAGAATATGGAGAACAGCCCCAAGGAGAAGGATTTAACTAATGTTAGACTAGTCTTATGTCCCTATTCAATGGTATTTTAAAACTTGGAATTTAGACTCTTCCTTGCTTTATTATTATTTTTTAAATATTTTATTTATTTATTCATAATAGACAGAGAGAGAGAGAGAGAGAGGCAGAGACACAGGCAGAGGGAGAAGCAGGCTCCATGCAGGGAGCCCGTCGCGGAACTCGATCCCAGGACTCCACGATCGCGCCCTGGGCCAAAGGCAGGTGCCAAACCGCCAAGCCACCCAGGGATCCCCTCTTCCTTGCTTTAAAAAATTTTTTGGCAACTTCTGTTAAGCTATAAACACATTTTAGTGTTAACCTTTTGGTCCATAGAATCATCATATATCGTCTACCAAATAATAATCAAATATCAAAATAAATACTATAGTATGTGGATGACACAATTTTAGAGAATACCAATTTAGATAACTTTTCTTTTGGTGTTACTTTAAGTTTCCCAAGAAAGAATAAAGTAGACCTCAAAAAATGCATTATACAGCCAATCTGAACATGAATATGAATATTTTCTATTATTAACATTGTTAACCAGATTTCTTTGATTATATAGCAGTGTATTAGTTATCTATTCCTGGATAACAATTTACATCAAACTTAGGGACTTTTGTAGACGTTTATTATCTCATAAGTATTTTTGTGAGTCAGGAATTCATGAGCAACTTAGCTGGGTGATTCTCAGGATCTGTCTTAAAGGTTGGTTAAACAGCTTTTACTGCATCCCCAAGATTTTGGACCATTGTATTTTCATTTTCATTTCTCCAAGTATTTCCTCTGTGGTTCAAATGCTTAATGTGAAGAATAATGATGCTATGACATATTACTACATGGTGTCTCTCTTTAACCAACTAATTTGTATTTTTCTGTCTAAAAAGAGACTCTTATGAACCCTGCTAGGGTACTGCCTTATGCTAGTGAGTTGGATTATGAAAAACTTGAGTTGTTTTGAAATATGGGTTTACAAGAATTGGAGAACACCCATTATAAGTTACTTTAGGTTGTAATACTGTGGTAAAACATTTGTATTTCCACTTTTATAGTTGCCCAAAAGGTAGAAGAAAGAAAACAGTTAATGCAGTGGTGAGCTAAAACATAGTGTAGACAGGGAAAAGAAAGGCCCAGCTAAGGAACTGACTAGAGAGGCTGCTCAGCCACATTCTGAATTCTGATGCTACCAGCCGAATTAATTATGCAGATAGAGACAGTTTCCAGGAGGTGCTTTACTCTGAAGCTAAAAACAGGCTATCACAGCTGTGCTCCAGATCAAAGTTGTGCCACATAGGGGATACTCTAGCCAATTTTCCAATCTTTATTACTGGGTGGTGTGCATAGAGGGTGTCCTTAAATATTAGTTATTCCTATCCTGGAGAACTTGGCTTATAAATTGTAATGAATTTGAAGATCTCCTTTATTCTACTGTGTACCAACTTTATTCCTCATTCCATCTTGTTTCACATAACCATGAAAGATAGGAATTATTCTCCTAATTCATTCAAACTGAGAAATAGAGTGTTAAGAGATCATGCGCAAGCACCTCCTCACTGTCAGTTGAGAGGTCTTTGTACCTCCAATCCTGTGCATGTGGTTTGTGCTTGAAGTGGCCTCCCTGGGGTTTTTTTTTCTCATTTGTCTTAATACCACGTCTGTGCATCCCCCTCTTTGCCACTATGCCTTTTACAAGCAAAATGAGAAGAGTGTTACACCACAGAAAAACCAGATTGGGAGTATAACCCAGGGACATATGTTTTTGGAGTAGGGATTGTCTTCCTATGATGGCTGCAGTGAATAATGGGAACCCAACCTGGAAATCCTTGTGAGATAGTAAAAGAGAATAACTTCAGAGCTAAGAAGATGGTTGCCCACAGGAGGGCTTTTTGGACACTCCCTTTGTGTCCTTGCACAAGTTACTTAATTTTTTAGACCTCCACTTACCCATTATATAATAGGCATAATAAGACCTACTCTGTAGAATTTTTATCAGGCTCCATTGAAAACAATGTTAAGTCCATTTATTTCTTTCCTTTCTCTATTTCACTTAGAAGTGTATTGTCAAAGAAGTTGGAGGTTCACTTGAGATCTGGGTAATACCGGAAAATGTCAAGAATTTAGCATTTTTTTCTGTGTGCCCAGGTACTGCACTACTTTATATGCATTAATTTTATGTAATTCTCAAAATGAACCTGAGAAGGGCTTAGTGACTGTTGCCCCACTTTAGACATGAGGAACCTAAACCATAAAGAGGCTTAAATAACTTCTGTTTAGGTGGTGGTATAAAAGTCCCTACTTGACCGATGCTAGAACTCCATATCTAGACATCGGAGTCTTCAACTGCTAAAGCAGTAAACAACCTTTTTACACAGCTTTACTAATAGTAGTTGACACACAGACTTTTCACATTCTTTACACATAAAATGTAAAGATGTTCTGCTTCTTTTAACAAATGCATTTTTGCTTTTTTTAGAGTTCCTCTTCCTCAGCTAAGGAATATGATAGAAGATGTTGCCCAAACCTTAAAATTTATGTATGGTTCTTTAGATAGGTAAGTAATTCTGTGAGTTGAATCTCAAGTTTTTTGTTGGTTTGTATTTAAAAAAAACATTTAGTCACAGAGAACAAACTGATGGTTACCAGAGGGGAGGGGAGTAGGTGAGAAGGTAGGGAAAATAGGTGATGGGGATCAAGGCGTACACTTGATGTGATGAGCACTGATTGTATGGAATTGTTGAATTACTATATTATACACTTGAAACTAACATAACACTGTATGCTAACTATACTGAAATTTAAAGTTAATAAAAATAATATAAAAAATAATGAAGATATCAATGCTCATTAAAAAATGAATCTCAAGGGATCCCTGGGTGGCGCAGCGGTTTGGCGCCTGCCTTTGGCCCAGGGCGCGATCCTGGAGACCCGGGATCGAATCCCACATCGGGCTTCCGGTGCATGGAGCCTGCTTCTCCATCTGCCTGTGTCTCTGCCTCTCTCTCTCTCTCTCTCTGTGACTATCATAAATAAATAAAAATAAAAAAAAATGAATCTCAAGATTTAAGTATATGATTCTAAATTCCTTTTGTACTTAATACTTTTTCTTGGTTGGCAAGTTATTTGTTTTTTTTCCTTCTTCCTCTGATTTTTTCATCTTTTATTACTGGCTTTATTTTACATTTTGAGGCATGATCCATTGCTTTTTCATTTCTGGTCTCATGTTAGTGTAGTGAAATAATGTGAATAGTGATGAACAACAATTATATTCTGATTTGATGTATTTCCGTAGTAGCAAATGTAAGAAAGAGCATTTCAGAACAGATACAGAAAAGAGTAAGATTTTAAGTAAGTTGTGTTTTCTTCTGATTTTACAAGAGCATTGTCAAATTCACTATCCTAAAATGTGATTTCTTCTTAGTTAAAAAAATTTTTGGTAAAAAAAAATGCACTATTAAATGACACAGTAAAGAAGGTATTGACTAGTTTCATGTGTATCATTTCACCTATTTTCTATACAATATGAATACGGTGTGCATACTCTTTTTTTAATATATGTGGGCTCATATTATGCATATTTTCCTGCTTCTTGCTTTTTTAACCTTGCAGTACAATATGATGCATCTTTCTTGATCTGAAGGAGGCAGTTTGAGGTAACTTCAACATTTGAACCCATAAAATTGCAGATGAAAAATAGATATTTCTGTTTGTGGGGTTTTTCTAAGTTCCAGTACTTCAGAGAGCTAAAATGATACCTTTTCTTTCAAAGGAATCTTTGAAATTAGGAATCTTAGGAATCTATCAATATAAAAATCCAAAAGCTGTTTATGTTTTTCCAAACCATGGTGGTGTCAGCTCTCTGTCTGTTGAGGATCTTTTTTGTTGTCACTAGTCTCAAAGCAGCCTGAAACAATTTTCTGTGGCTGTGCCTTTGGGATTGTCTAGTTTGTAAATTCTCCTCTGAGAGCCTCTTAGGAGACACGTCCCTCTCAAACCCAGTTACTAATTAGCATTTTCTAAATGTGTGAACTACAAAAGGCCAGGCAACCACAAACAGTGCTTTTACCTTTTATTAATAAGGAAATTTTAACCAATGAAGAGTAAGGGTACAGTTGTAAACTATCTCCTTAAATTTACACTGGGTGAGCAAACCTTGCTATGTTTTGCCTTAATTAAAGCTTTTTGTTTTCATAAAATCAGAGATAATTAAAGATTAAATTCCTGCAATGAATTGCATACTTTAAGACACTCAGTTCAGGCTGTTCTGCAAATTCCAATGAACTAGGTTGGGGGCAGAGGGACTCTTACTTTCTGTGAATTTCGTTTTGAAATTTAGTTTCCATATACCTGGAAGTATCACCAAATTGGCAGCAAATTTTAGTTTCTTAGTCTAGTGAGAATTTGAAAGGCAAACTAAGATAGTAAATGTGAAGATCCATTGAGTTCTTAAGACCAAGAAGCAGGGATCCCTGGGTGGTGCAGCGGTTTAGCGCCTGCCTTTGGCCCAGGGCGCGATCCTGGAGACCCGGGATCGAATCCCACGTCAGGCTCCCAGTGCATGGAGCCTGCTTCTCCCTCTGCCTATGTCTCTGCCTCTCTCTCTCTCTCTCTCTCTCTCTCTCTCTCTGTGACTATCATAAATAAATAAAAATTAAAAAAAAAAGACCAAGAAGCAGTGTGGATCCAACATGTTGTTAGTTGTCATTTTGTAGCAATTTCTAATAAGTTTTTTTCTAATTATGAAAGATATTAAAGGCACACTGTGAAAAATTATGATGACTAAAAAGTCCAAAGACTTAATTATTTTTTTAAGTTGTAAACTGGTTAGTTTCTGTGAGGCACAGAAAATATATATTCACAAAGTTTAGTTTATGATCAGATTAAAGATGTTTCCTTCACTATTCCCAGCCAAACTTTCAGCTAATTCTAAACAGTCTGTCTCTAAAACACATCTCAAATCCATTCATTTCTCTCCATCTTCACTGTTACTTTGTCCAGCCACCACCATCTCTTACTTCTACAGCAGTCTCCCAACTGGTTTTCTTGCCACCTTAGTTTCCAAATGAAGTTAAAGTGATCTTTGTACATTATAATCTGTCTCCTACATGCCTTTCTGATTTCGGATCTCAAACCACACCCACCCCTCTGTGCTGTTCTGCTGGTACCCTGCCCAAGCTTGTTCCCAACTTAGGGCTTTTGTGCTTTTTCCTCTCACTGGGTCTTGACATTGGGATCTCAGCTTAAATGCCCATTCTCAAAGACTCTTCCCCAACTTTTTATCTAAATTAGCCAACCAGTCACACCACCCATTCACATGATCCTATTTTCTGCATGGCTCTTTGTACGAGTTCATGTTTTTACTGTTTTTTTCACTTGTTGTCTTTCTCCATTAGAATGTGAGCTCCACAGAAGCAGAGACCTTATCTTTTGTCCTGACATTTTTACTATTATACCTCCAACAGTGAGAATAGTGCCTAGAACATAGTTGGCATTCAAGCAATTTGTTGAATGAATCCATGATTATTATTCTGATGTATTAATGGTATATATACTAGTTACTGTGTTTTGAAGTGGGCTATTCCAATGAATGGCTGCAGGCAATGCTATATTATTTTTGCATGGCTAAAACCAAGTGTTTAGTCTGTCTCTTCTTTACCTCTGTCTCTCTCTCTCTCCTTGATTTCTTCAATAGTGTTGCCTTCATTAGTGAAAAAGGGAGAAATAACTTAGGCTAATTAAGTGCTTACTGTATTCAGTAAGTAAGAAGTACTTATTATGTACTTCACATGTGAGTCAGGTTGTATTATCCCCATTTTTAGAGTTGGAAACAAAAGTTCAGAGAAAGGTTAGATGATTTTTCTGCGATTATTTTACCGGTGGTAAAAGCAGTGGTAAGATTCAAAGCCAGATATGTCCTATTACAAAGCTCAGTATCTATTATTTGATCTTGCCTGAAAGATATTGGGAATTTAAATAAAGAAATAAAGTAAAAGCAGCTTTCTTCTCTCCTTCTTCTTCCTTCTTTTTTCTTCTTTTTTTTACAAAAAAGGTACTTCAGCCCATTCTGTCATAGATATACCACTTGTGTTAGCCCTGTGATTCTTCCATAATACCATCTATATAATACATTTGAAAGTAGGTTTTTGGGTAAAAAATACTGACAGGAATGAATTTCTTAACACATTCCATCAGTAACATTAGAGCAGTAATTCTTCATAAGGAAAAGGTGTCAGGAAGAGAGCCTATGTAGTTGGGAAAGATCCAGTTTCCTTAGGAACATGCCCAAGAGAACTACCATTTTCACATGTTGTTATGACTTACAGCTCTTGTTTCTTCAGTGCCTTTTGCCAGGTTGAGAATGTTCCTCGTTTGGATCATTTTTTCAACTTGTTCTTTCAAAGAGCACTTCAGCCTGCTAAACTACAATCCAGTGCCTGTCCAAGCGCACAACAATATGATGCTTCCAGTGCAGTGCTTTTAGACAGTCTCCCTGGAGTTCGATGGCTCACACTTCCTCAGGAAATCAAGGTAATCTTGGGTGTCATAAATAAAAATCAGAACCAGTTGCCTTGTAATTTTTTATCTTCTCTCTTTTTTAGACTTTTTGTTATTTTCAGGATAGTGGATCAGAGTTAAAAGAAGCCATTGGTAATGAAGATCCAGTACAGTGAACTGACAAAGATAAATATTTCTTTCTAAATAAAAATTAGGTCTTTCATCTTACTTTACAATTTAAGCAGCTTCCAAACTTATAATACTTTTAAGAAATCATAATTATATAGTGTGTTGCTTTTGTCAGATATTCTTTTTCTTTTTTTTTTAGATATTCTTTTTCTTAATGTCATTTTTCCTAAGGTATAACAGAATAATTAAGAGAAAAGATATTTTGCCTGTCATTTTAAGGAATGTGAAGAAACAATTACAGTAACATTGTATATTAGCCTATAGAGTTCAGTAGTGAGAATAGCAACCCACTAAACATTAGTATTTGTGAGATCAAAATCCACAAGTGGGTAATTTTCTTTTTGTCCTTTAGTTTTTCACGAGAGAACTATAGCCCCAAAAAGGAGTACATGAAATATTTGCTAGATGCAGAAAAATGTAGGTCACAAATGAGTAATAAGTCATAGTGTGTGAAAGCATTGAAAGGCATGACTAATGTTTCCAAAGCTTTTGTCATGTTAGTAAGACACAGTTTGTGAAATAGTCCTGCAGAGAGTGCCTTGGCGTTTAAAAGAAAAAGGAAAAGAAAAAAAAGGATTCTTTTCTACAGATCGCATATATACGACAGCTTTAATTGCCAGTAGTTTTCAATTTACGTATATGCATTACGGATTAAACTACAGATTAAATTTATTCTGTTTTTAAATTGTGAATGCTTCGTGGAGGAACAAATACATGAAAGAGTTCAGGCAATTTCCATAGAAACGAAAGCTAAATCCTAAGTAAGATTTTTCTAATAACTCTGTAGGGAAGCTAAACTGTGCCAGATTCCAGGGGAACTCTTGCCTTCATGTTTTAATCCATAAATAAAGATTAAGAGTCCTTTTATATAGAATGTAGGAAGGATACAAGAAAGAATGTTGATATTTTCAAAGAATCTGTTAAGAAATATACAGTTAATAGAGGGGAGGGAAAATCCTCGAAATAGATTGAGAATATTAAAATTGATTATTTTCCTCTAACTCAAAACTAGAAAGCAATTTTTAACCTCGTACTTATTTTGCATTGAATACAGAGTGAAGCTTATTTTGCAATAATTGAAATTTAATTGAAAAGTAACTATATGTTACATAAACTTTTTTCTGTAATTCTGAAACTTAAAAACAACATGTTCTATTTTGGGAAATTTCTTAACTATCACAAAGGAGAAAGATACTTATTCAATTCTTCAGCTAATTATTAAGCACTTTTATGAAGCCATCACTAAATAATATGAGTTAAATGTTTTGTGTTACTTTTTTTATTTTCACATAGATGGAGCTAGACACAGCATTGAGTGACTTGGAGGCTGCAGATTTTGCAGAACTGGTAAGAGAAACAGTGGATTTTAGGAAAGGCTCAATGGTGATTTCATACTTTGTAAATCAGCCATTATTCTAAATATTTTTCAAGTGGGCATGTAATGATTTTGAGATACATAGCTTTGCGTCTGTATTTTCACATGAACAAAATCTATTTTGCTTGCCTTAAAATGTTTTACTCAGTTAAAAATATTTGTTACTTAATGTACACATAATGATTAATTGCATTTAGATTCCTTATAAACTGGGCTTTGAGAAAAGTACACACATGTAATATGAAAGTAAAGAATTGAATTGTAATATTGAAGTAAAAACCCTATAGATATGTATTGAAATTGGAAATATCAATCAAGTTTATCTTTAAAAATATATATACATTTCCTAACTCTGTCCAGTAAAATATCTAGAAATAGTGATCATCCCAGGAGTGATGACTGCCCTTAGCACCCAGGCTATGGTGTATAAATAATACTTCTCATTAAAAGGAACCAAGACTCCAAAGAGAAATGGCTGGTGGCAATTTTTCTTTCTTTATAGATTGTATTTTGATGTTGTATCCAAGGAATCCCCATAGATCTACTTTGGAAAACAGTTTGGCAGTTTCTTAATAACCTATATATACACCTACCAAATGATTCAGCCATTCTGTTCTCATTACCCAAGAGAAATGAAAATCTATATCAATATAAGACCTGCACAGGAATGTCCATAACAACTTCATTTGTAATAGCCAAAAATGAAACAATTCAGGTAACTCAAGTATCCATCAGTGGGTAAATAGACAAATTACAATATATTTATGCAAGGGAATATACCTAGCAAAAAATTTGGCAGATGTGTTCATGGAATTGTCATATATTTTGATTTTGGTGACACATAACACAGCTATATCCATTTGTCAAAACTGGCAGACCAGGGGCACCTGGATGGCTCAGTTGGTTAAGTGACCAACTCTAGTTTCAGCTCAGGTCACGATCCCAACATCCTAGGATCGAGCCTTGCTTTAGGCTCCACACTCAACGGAGAGTCTGCTTGAGGATTCTCTCCCTCGCTTTCTGTACCTCCATCTCTCAAATAATAAAATCTCTTTTTAAGCTGGCAAAACAATTCACAGTGAATTCTACCTTTATTTTTTTTAATTCTACCTTTAAAAAAATGAAAATAAGGATCTATTCTAAACTTTTTGTGAAATTAGATTTAAGATTTAAGGTATAGGGATCCCTGGGTAGCGCAGTGGTTTGGCGCCTGCCTTTGGCCCAGGGCGCGATCCTGGAGACCCGGGATCGAATCCCACATCGGGCTCCCGGTGCATGGAGCCTGCTTCTCCCTCTGCCTGTGTCTCTGCCTCTTTCTCTCTCTGTGTGTGTGACTATCATAAATAAATTTAAAAAAAAATAAAAAATAATAAAAAAAGAAAGATTTAAGGTATAATTTATATTTGGTAAATTCTTCTGTGCCCCTTTATAGTCAACCCCTCTCCCTACTTCCAGCCTTTGACAATTGCTAATTTGTTTTTTGTCCTCATGGGACATTTACCTTTTCTGGAATGTCATATAAATTGAATTTGATAATAGGTAATTTTGGGGGTCTGATTTAGTTCGCTTAACGTAATGCATTTGAGATTCACTCATGCTATTATGCATCTGTAGTTCAGTCCTTTTATTGCTGAGTAGTATTCCATTGTATGAATGTGTCACACTGTATATCTATTCCCCAACTGAAAGACACTTAGGTTATTTCTAGTCTTTTAGTTTCCTTTAGGTTTCATTGACTTTTTTTTAGATTATTAAAGTAATACATGCATATTGGATAAAATGCAAGCATGGTTATTGAAAACAAATGTCCTCCCTCCTCATCCTTCTCCCCCAGTCCTATCCCTAATTGTATCTATTCTTACAGTTTGAAACCTATTCTTCCAGGCTTTTTTCTGTACACCACAGGAACATAGTTTACATACAGACAAGCACACATCTATACACGTGTATCATTGAGGGTGTTATTTTTTTAATTAGATCATAGTGAATATTTTGTTCTGTAGCTTGCATTCTTTGCTCAGCAGTTTATCCTATAAAACCTTTTGTGGGGCAGCCCCAGTGGTGCAGCGGTTTGGCGCTGCCTGCAGCCCGGGGTGTGATCCTGGAGACCCGGGATTGAGTCCCACGTCAGGCTCCCTGCATGGAGCCTGCTTCTCCCTCTGCCTGTGTCTCTGCCTCTCTCTCGCTCTCTCTGAATGAATAAATAAATAATAAATCTTTAAAAAAAAAAAACCCTTTTGTGCATGCTCATATAGATCAACCTTATTTTTTAGCAGACCTGTGATAGTCTATGGTATGAACATACCTAATTTTATTAACCATTCTCCATTGTTGAACTTGATTTTATCTCCACTTTTGCATATTATAAATAGCTCTGCTACTAACTTTTTATACAAAAATCTTGATTCTCCTGTTTGAGCACATCTATAGATTTTTAGAACTGAAATTACTCAAAGGGTACGAGTATTTAATTTTTTTATATATAGTAATCAGTTGCTCTCAAATAGGCTGTATCAAATTGTACTTTCAAAAATATTATTTGGGGGATCCCTGGGTGGCGCAGCGGTTTGGCGCCTGCCTTTGGCCCAGGGCGCGATCCTGGAGACCCGGGATCGAAGCCCACATCAGGCTCCCGGTGCATGGAGTCTGCTTCTCCCTCTGCCTGTGTCTCTGCCTCTCTCTCTCTCTCTGTGACTATCATAAATAAATAAATAAATATTAAAAAAAATAAAAATTAAAAAAAAACAAAAAAACAAAAATATTATTTGGTAATATGGCATATTTTAGATGATGTATCGTAGAACCTTTTTTATCTTGATAGACTTGTTTTAATCCCTCTTACAGTAACTAATCTTATGTTCTGTTCTTAGGTATCACTAACCAACAGTATCTTAGAAGAATAAAAGATGAAATTGTTTTCAGTCCAAAATACATGCACATTTTCTTTCACCCTAATACCCTAGTATATTCATTTCTAAAAAAGGCACTATGAGAAGTTCAGTTACTAAACAATATAATTGCCATTTTAACCATTGTAGCTTAACTAATAAAAAAACAAAGAATATAAATCCACTGTGGTTTTTCTCCCCTAGTCTGAGGATTACTATGACATGAGACGGCTGTATACAATTTTAGGATCTTCTCTATTTTACAAGGTAAGTTGAAGTTTGAAATTTTTATAAATGTCCAACTGCTATATGAACAGACCAAAAGTGAATTTTCTCAAACTTCTACAAACATGAAAATTACATTTATCCCTTTTCCCTTGAACGTGATTACCATAAAATTAAGGTCTTAGAAAAGAAACAAAACTGGCACCTACATATTGACAAAATAAATATTTCTGATTTTACTACATGCTAAAGCATTTGCAGATATGCAAAGGAGATACAATATTCAAGGAAATCAGGTGTGTAAGAAAAGAGCAATACTTTCTTGATTTCTTTTTGCAACATTGTACTTTTTTTCTTATCTTCGGGTATAACCATGTATCTTTTTCTTAAATCTAATACTTGGTTGACTTCCATGTACAGCAAATTAAGCATCAAATTTAAGTATTTTCATATTTCCAGAAAAATTTTAAACACAATTTAAAACATATCTAAAAAAGAATCAGTACAGAATGGTACACAGTGAAAAGTAAGTCTATCTTCACCTTACCTTTTGCTTCTCTTTTCCATTTTCCATACTCAGAATTCAGTTCTAATTTGGCCACTTAGGCTTATACTACTCAGGTGATCTTCCTTTGTGCTAAAGTCTACCTATTGTAAACTTAACATAAACCATAGATCTCTAATTGATCTCAGGGAAAATAATTTTATTTTCACTATACCTTTATTCCATTTGAAACTGGAATATTTTAAGCCAAGTGAAGTACCTATGAAACTCTTAGATATATTATGGCATTATTGCTGTATATCACTGGTTGATTTTTGTTCTTTGTGATTAAATTCAAGGGGTATTTGATATGCAGTCATTTGCCTAAGGAGGACCTTATTGATATTGCTATATACTGTCGCCACTACTGCCTACTGCCTTTAGCAGCAAAACAAAGAATTGGTCAGTTGGTTATATGGAGAGAAGTGTTTCCTCAACATCACCTCCAACCTTCTACAGACTCAAACACTGAAGTCTTTCAGGAACCTGAAGGCAGATATTTTTTGCTAATTGTTGGCTTAGTAAGTTTACTTTGGTATCTGTGTGTGGGGGGGGGGGTTGGTTTTGTTTTTTGTTTTTGTTTTTTTTGGGGGCTACTTACTATAAATATATATGAAAGCAACCATAATAATTTAAAATTATGAGCATGTCAGATGCCGATATTCAAGAAAATTTTGTATGTCCCTTATTCCTTTTCTTTGACATCCATTTAATACTGGAAGTATTGAAGAATATGGAGAATATTAATGAAATCCAGAATAAGATTTTATCAGGTTAAGATCTTTTATTCTCATTTTTGCCCTCTAGTTTGTCTTGGGAAATAGAGACCTGAAGAGGATATAGAATCAGATTAAACGTAATTGTAAATAAAAGGACTTCCAATAATTGTGATTCTTTGAAAGCTACCTTGTGTCATGTGCCAGAAAGTAGTAGTTGATGGTGTACCAGGAGAAGGCAATATAAATGAATATTTGTTTTCAAGGATGATCAAGAGACGTTGAGAATAACTAAGAAACAAAGGGAGGGAGGAGTTTTTGGTAATTATATGATTATGCCATATGTTTTTAGTATTCATAAATTTATACATGCATGCTACATATAAACATTTTCATGTAGCTAAACCTATATTAATTTTTTTCTTATAGAAGCATTATATGTTATGTGTACTATTACAAGCTGGAGGCTGTGCATCCAAAGCTATTGGGAATCCTGGACCAGACTGTATATATGTGGATCAGGTCAAAACAACTCTTCACCAGCTGGAAGGAATAGATTGTCGCATAAATGAACAGCTAACATCTTCTCCAAGCCCCTGTTTGTCTTGCGCTGACTGGTTCCTTACTGGATCACATGAAAAATTAGATAGTTTGACAACCTCACCTATCCTCAGTAAACTACCAGGTACTTCCAAGGTAGTAACCTCTCCAACATGCAGAAGAATTCTTTTTGGTGACTATTCCTTAAGGACACGCAAGCCTAGTCCTTCCCGTAGTAGTGGAGGATCTGACAATGGTTGCGAAGGGGGAGAAGGTGTTGGCCTGAGCTCCCACACTACCCCGGATGCATTATGGAAACAAAGAGAATCTCAGGGTTCTGACGGTTCAGAAGAAAGTGGAGCCTTACTTAAGGTTGGTGTTCATTCAAGTGTGTAAATTCTGGGAGCTAAGCTGTCTTCCCAGTTCTTATTTTATAAATGCAAGAAAAATTTTAATGGCAAATCATTCTTCATTTGAACTAGTGGTTGTGGTTACTGTTGGCAGACCAGTGATTTAGAACCAAAAAGAAAATTACTTGTTTATTTATAACTTGTTTTATATCAAGTAATAAAATAGTAGCATCCAGGACAGCTGTTTGACACTACTTACCAAGTAGGGAAATTCCTTACCCTGCTTTCTATGTTCATCTTTCTTCTGCATTCACAATGTTAATAGAGAACATCCTGGTCGTGGGGGATTTTAGAGGGCTGATCTGACTAAATAACCAAAAAAGTATTCAGCAGAAACAAAAAGAAAATCAGAAACATATATATATATGTATATATAAGAATATATATGTAAATATTTGTGTATGTATGTGTTACTCTATCGGTTTTTTATAGGTTTTTTTTTTGTTTGTTTATTTTTATCTGCATCTGTGAAGGTCTGGTCTCCATAGTCAAGAATTTAATATGTGATTATAAAGCAAAGAGAATGTTCAGTTTTCAGGTTTATTGTTTTTATCATTTTTTCCATGTTTTTTCTCCATGAAAATATCATAATGTATCCAAATGATGACCAAAGTAATCACTGTGAGGGATCTTATACCCATTCTAATGATGCTTCTCTTTCAAAACATTTTTGAAACTGTCAGTTGGGTTGATGGAGGCGATGCCAGACAAGGCATGAAAAAAGAGGAATCTGAGAAAGGGCACAAATAAAATATGAGATTCTGAGTGTCGTGGCATAAATAGCCATAGATTCCATCTTCTAATTCCGAACAATACAGCATTCTTAGAGCCCTAAGTGGATGTATTGAGGAAATACATTCTTACTGTATTCATTGTCAGTGAAATTAGTAGGAAACATAATTTAGGAAGTAAGAGATTTAAAGAGCCATGAATAGCTCCTAAGAAAAATTGAATTACAATTGAACCATTCAGCAAATTTGATTAAACACCTACTATATGCCAAGGGCCATGAGGAGATACAAAGATAGATTAGACACAGCCCATGCCTTTGAGAAGTGCAAAGTCTAGAGAGGGAGACAAGTACATGTACAAATAAAATGTAACAAAACTTGATAATCGCTCTGGTAGGTTTTCAGGAAGAACTATCATGTCCTAATACATAGCCTGAGATCACTGTTAGCAAAGGATAAGCCAAGAGGTACAAGTTAACATCAAAAATATTTAAAGGAAACATTGAAAAATATTAAGTAGTTCTCTTAGATTTTCAGTTTTTACACTATTTATCGTTTGATTCCATTCTTAGATACAACCTAATATACTTAACTGTATTTTTTCAGGTCACTAAAAAGAAAGCTACTCTTCCAAATCCATTTCATTTAGGGAACTTGAAAAAGGACCTTTCAGAAAAAGACCTGGAAATATATAACACAATGAAGTAAGAAACTTCCTTATAAAATATCCTTTTTTTCACTTAAACTTCATGCCTTTGAGGAAATTTTAAAGAAAGTAAAATCCAATATATTTTTTATTTCATTCAAAAATGTAATTATGGTACATCGTACATAATTAAAGGTAGTGTCTATGCTAATTTACTAATGTTTCTCAGTACCATATAGGGAACATGTCCTATTACAAGAGCTTAAAAAACAGAGTAATGTTTCAAAATGTGAAAGTCCCCCTTTATCTCTTTTCCACAGGTAACCTCCCTTTTGTATGTCTAATTTTTAAATTATAGTATTTACTATTTTTAGACTTTGGTGGATTCTGTGGTCTGCTGCCTAGATATTCCATAGCCCAGGGTACTCCTTCCCAGTATTTGGGGGTAATGGCTGTTAACTACTCACAGCCAAGTCCCTCTCTGGCTTTGCTCTGTTTGGAAGTTTATTGACTCGGCCAAGATTACTGTATCTCCCTGGGAATAGCCCACATCTAGTGACTAATAGGTAAGTGAATACAAAGACTTGACCCCTTCCCTAAATTCAAGACAACTCTAAAAGGCCATCCAAGCTTATGAGTTCCAAGTGTTGTCTGCTGAGACCTTTGTTTTGACTGCATTGTGGTTCAGCTTCTCCTTTGCTCCATCCTGCTTCCTTTACACTTCCCCCCACTTTCTGTGTTGTTCCCCAAAGGTCTCCCTAATAAACTTCCTCAGTGCATATCTCTCAGAGTCTCTCATTTTAGAAAAGAAATAAAACCTTAAACTTAGGGAAAGTGGGGAATTCTGAAGCAAAAGTTACTGAGTGAGAGGAGCATGTTCAGCAACTTAGATTTGTCTGACCTTTGCCTACTAATGTTGAATTATATCATGTGTGGGATCAATTAGTATGTAACAAACTCAATTGCACACTTTAATTTGAATAAGCAGACATGTGAGTAGAACTCACACAAAAAATATTCGCTACTGTTACCATCTTAATCATTGAAACATTTTGTAGTAAGTTCAAATATACATGTCACAGAGTTGTCAGAAACAGCTTTTTTTCTGAAGTTAGGGCAAAAACAAGGTAACTTATCTGTATCTCATGTGTTAAATTTGGTATTTAATGCCTCAAATATCATGATTAATTTTTTTAATAGTTAAAAACATTTTTAAACAAATCTAAATCAAACCTTTTGTGGAGCTTTGAAGCACCCTTCCAAAACCCTAGTCTTCCATTTAGCGAAAAGTACTGCTTTGAAATTTTATTAAGCCCACATCTTACTTTTTTAGTGTATGTGTTATTTTGGCCTTATCTTTAGTAAAAGGAAATGTTTTCCAAGTTCATTAGCTTAAATATAGATTCCTATGTGATGTAAATCATAGCTATTTAAGACAATCTACAGATGAATGTTTATTCTCTTTATTGGCATGGAAAGATGTTGATACTATATAGTTAATTTTAAAAGTATGACATAAACCAGTATATAATATACTATCCTAATATGTATGTATATATTTTTGTAAAATAAGAATGTATAACATATTAAAAATAATAATACCCACAAAACAGTTCATTTAGTAACCAAGTCCTATCTATTTTGCATTTTCCTAATTATTTAATCCATTTAGCCCTTACTGTTTCTACTGTGGATCAGGCTTCCATTCTCTAAACCTGGTTTTACTACAATAGTCTCCCAACTCCCAGCCTACCCTGAATCTATTTTCTGCTGCCAGAACGACCTTTCCAAGGAATAAATCTGACTTAACATGTGCTTTTACAAATATTGTATTCCCATGGGGGAATTGCTTGTTTGATGATTTTTAAACTTTTGGTGTATACACTGAGATATCACTGAGATATACTCTGAGTGACTTTGTGATTTGCAAGAGCTAAATTTGTTCACTGTGTTGTGGGAGATTTTGGTTTTTGGTTTTTGTTTGCTTTTTTGAGAGAAAGTTAAGAAAGACAACAAAAATGTTAATTCTAAACCTCCCTTAAAAAAGGAATCTTATTAATAGCTCTTTTTAAATAATCATTTCTGTTCATTTCTTTGAAATGTACATTTTCTTGAATTGCCAATCAGAAGACATCAACAGAAAGTAAAAAAGCAAGATTTAGTGGAGTATGCTTCAAAGACAGCTAAACTCAGCTGTTTAGCTAAGTGACCTCAATCAAGCAAGTTAATCTGAAATCTCTGAAGATTGATATCCTCATGGTTAAAATGAGGGTTACTACCTATTTAACATCTCACAGGATCATTATGAGAATTAAGACTAATGTATTTTACAGCACCTATCCTGGCACATAGTATATAACTATTATTATTATTTTGTTGTTGTTGTTGTTCTTTAGCTCTTCTTACCACTAGTAGAAATAAGCAGTATTTATAGATTCTCCTGGCCTATCTGAGATCTAAATAGGGGAAGAAAGGATGGAGAAAAAGAATGGAGAAATGAAAACAGGAAGAGAACACGGAAAGGAAGGAAGACTGTAATGATGAATAGTAGAATACTACAAGTAATTGCCATAGTATTCCAGAATATTAACCCAGCTTTGCAGTTGGTGGTAATTTTGTTTTTCTTCAGGATCATCAGTTTGACTTTTATGCTACCAATTTAAATGTGTTTATTTTGTTGGAAGGTGTTCTTATATATGGTCAACTCTAGGCTGATTCCTTATTTATGACTTGTGGGTATCTGGGCCAGACAGAGGCTGAGTTATTTATTACCAACCATGGAAAAAGAGGGCTTTAGCCAGTTTGGGCTGTTTATGTTTAGCAAAAGAACGATTAAGTTGTTTGCAATTGGTGTGTATCTATCCTCACACACCATGTAATATCTGTCTCCATTAAGGAATTGATAATAACCCTAGCCTGTACTTTAGTTAAGAAAAAAATGGGACTTAAATATTTGTCCCAATTGCCCTGCCCCAATTACACTTCTAACATTACATTGAAGATAAAAAGCTTGGAGCATACAACATTCAAAATGAAGCAATATTTTTAAGTTTACTTAAATATCTTTTTTCTTTTTTGTTCTTTTCAAGATTAACATCTGGTCCTGAGAACACACTTTTCCACTATGTTGCCTTAGAAACTGTGCAAGGGATCTTTATTACTCCAACCCACGAAGAGGTGGCACAGCTAAGTGGCTCTATCCACCCTCAACTAATAAAGAATTTCCATCAGTGTTGTCTCTCCATTCGTGCAATTTTCCAACAGACATTGGTAGAAGAGGTATAAATATAGTTCTGTCAATTTTGTTTCAGATCCCTAAATACTCTAAAAGCTCTTTAATCAATATGTCCAACACTAACAACTTTTATTTACTTTTTTTTTTAGCAGTCACTCAGTCTAACTAGAGTACATAATGACTGCCAAAAGGATTATACTAACAATATTTAACTTAAAAGCTTTGTTTCATAATACTGAGTTTGATGTCCTGGATTGCTTTTCCAGAAAATGGTGGGCCTGTGTTTTTCTATAGCAGAATAGAATATGGTAGTTGATAATGTAAATTAGCCTCCATTTTTTATATCTGTGAGTCAGCCATTACTTAGACAGTAGTACCTACTAGTTGTTAAGTCTGATAATTCTTTAAATTATTAGATAAGTAGTATAAGGTATTTTGTAACATAATAGGGTAAGGTGCAGCAATAGACACAATACTGTTGCAAATATTTTAGCCTCTGGGTTCAGTTCTTGTTTGCTTGCTATTTAATCCAGGATGAAGTTTCATTTAATATTGTACCTCTGGATAAGTAGTAATATTGTATATACTTTAAAAATCAATTAGATTATCTTAATGGTAGGGAAAAGTATGTGTTGATTTTTTGAAAAGGATAAACAAACAGAAGTTTACTTGTCAGTGGTCAAACATCACATAGCCAGAAACAAAAAACAAAGCACCCTTCTGAAAATGATTGTAATGTATACAGCCATATGTGTGTTAAGAATGCTAAAATTGAAAAAAAAAAAGAATGCTAAAATTGTTAAGAACTTGGGTTTAAAGGTAGAAGAACATTGGGCGGGGAATAAGGTATCCTGGACTGAGCCTCGACTCTTCCCATTTGCTCAGCTATAAAGTAAGTGGGCTGAAGTATGTCTTAGAACTCATTCACAATAAAATTCTGACTCGGGATCCCTGGGTGGCGCAGCGGTTTAGCGCCTGCCTTTGGCCCAGGGCGCGATCCTGGAGACCCGGGATCGAATCCCACGTCGGGCTCCCGGTGCATGGAGCCTGCTTCTCCCTCTGCCTCTCTCTCTCTCTCTCTGTGTGTGTGTGTGTGTGTGTGTGTGTGTGTGTGTGTGACTACCATAAAAATAAATAAATAAATAAATAAAATAAAAATAGATTTCTTAGGTCTCTTTAAAAAAAATAAAAATAAAAAAATAAAATTCTGACTCTTGTAGGATTTTTTTGAATTTTTTCTTTCTTTCCTTTTTTTTTTTTTTTTTTTTTGAATGAGAGAGAGGGAGCCTGTTTGTGCAAGCACAGCCACGTACAAGCTAGGGTAAGGGCAGAGGGGGAGGGAGAGTGAGAATCCCAAGCAGCCTCCATGCTCAGCATGGGGCCAACACAGTGCTCAGTCTCACCACCTTGAGATTCTGACCTGAGCTGAAATCAAGAGTCAGACGCAGGGATCCCTGGGTGGCCCAGCAGTGTGGCGCCTGCCTTCAGCCCAGGGTATGATCCTGGAGTCCCGGGATGGAGCCCCGCTTCGGGCTCCCTGCATGGAGCCTGCTTCTCCTTCTGCCTCTGTCTCTGCCTCTCTGTGTGTCTCATGAATAAATGAATAAAATCTTAAAAAAAAAAAAAAAGTCCAATGCTTAACCGACTGAGCCACCCAGGCGCCCCTTATAAGATTTCTTCTTTGAGCTCTCAGAAATCGATATCCAGCAAAATGTTATGTTATGTTATGTTATGTTATGTTATGTTATGTTATGTTTAACCATATATATATCTCTATGTACTTTGTGGTCTTATGCTTCTCCTTTCCTTTCAAGATAACTAATAGATTCTATAAGGGAATCTTTCATTAACTTATTCAGTAATAGTAATATAAATTAGCCTTTCTCATGTTGTTGAACTATTTAGGTATCCACTATGCACCAGACACTACTCTACTACTCTGGTGGTGGGGATATAACAGTGAACAAAGTCCCTTTCTTCACGAAGCTATTACCAATGGGAGAGTCTGCATTGCGTGAATGGAGGTCTGAGTTCTTGAGTTCCCTGAAAGGACTTCTGTGAGGATCCATGCTTAACTAAAGAAAGCCAGAAGTAGCAAGCATAAAGCAGGGGTGTTTTTTTTTTTTTTAAGATTTTTATTTATTAATTCATGAGAGACACAGAGAGGGGGCAGAGACCGGTAGGCAGAGGGAGAAGCAGGCTCCTTGCTGGGAGCCCGATGCAGGACTTGATCCCGGGACTCCGAGATCATTCCCTGAGTCGAAGGCAGACGCTCAATCACTGAGCCACTCAGGCGTCCCAGAAAGCAGACAGTACACCTTCAAGGTGAAAGAGCAGGCAGGCCCAGAGATGGCAGTCACATCAGGGTTAGGGAGATCTTTCCTTTTTATGTTTGCATAGGTTACAGGTCATAGCTAGGACGGTCTCCTACCAACGTGTTTTCCAATCATCTAAGGGACTCCTACTAGTTGGGAGTAGACTACTCCCAACTACTGACCCTACAGGGTTTTGGCCAGAACTGTCGTGGCCATCTTTCTCCATGGAGAGGAAGGGGTTGAAATCACAATGTAAATATATTATAATGAAGTTATCGGTTACCATGGGGCAGTGGTCTAAGAAGACAGCACACTTCTCCACTGGCTGTTGGTCAGTCAGCCCAGGGTTGTTGGAAGCCTTAATTTAGGCCTGGATGTTAAAAGCCACAGTCAGGATGTTGTGCCCTCAGGCTTCTATCATGTCACCTATTTATCACCACCTTTGCCTCCAGATCTTGTCTAACTAACTGCCTATTATATTCTAATGGAGAGGACTAATTAATTGGCAAGTAGTATAATATGTTAGGTAGGAAAAGTTTCAAGTAAGGATAATATTTGAACAGAGACCTAAATGAGGTGAGGAAGCAAGTGAAGTGGCAATCTGCAGGTAGGGCTTCCAGATAGGAAAGCAAATGCAAGTGCAAAGCCACCGAAGTAGGAGTGACTGAGAATGCTGGAGCCGGCAAGAAAGAGAGTGCTAGGAGTCGAGATGGCAAAGGTTAGCAGAGCCAGGTTGCACATGGCCTGATAAATTTAAGGACTTTGGGGTTTGTTCTGAAGGAGATGGGAAGATCTTGGACAATTCTGAGCAGAGGAAGGTCATGATCCTACATTTTTTAAAGGATCATTCAGGCTACTAGTGTGTGAAGAACAAGCTCTGTAGTGTAGCGAGAGTGGAGGAGGGGCCAATTAGGAGGCTATGGAAATTCTCAAAGCAAGAAAGGATTAGTGGCTTCTGGTTTCTGGATATATTTTGGAGGGTGAGTCAAAAGGATTTGTTGATGGGTTAGATAAGGATTTTGAGACAAAGAGAAGAATCAAGGATCACTCCACTGTTTTAGCCTGATCCTTACAAAAAGTCTTTTTATTCCAAATGAGTCATTGTTTTGCTAATAATTTAATCAATGGGAAATTTAGAGGGTATGCATGAAAGGGGGAGACAATACTATTTTAAGTATATGTGTTTTAGTTTTATTAAAAAATCATCTATTAATTTAGTAGCCTATTTGTTTGTTTATTTTTAAGATTTTATTTATTTATTCATGAGAAACACAAAGAGAGAGGCAGAGATACAGGCAGAGAAAGAAGCAGGTTCCATGCAGGGAGCCCGATGTGGGATCCCCAGGACTCCAGGATCACCCCCTGGGCAGGCGCCAAACTGCTGAGCCACCCAAGGATCCCCCCTAGTAATCTACTTATTAAGGGCCTACCATGTACTAGGCCCTGCTGCTTCAAACATACAAAGATGAAAATCATATTGTCTCTGCTTTGGAAAAAAGCATATAATCTACTGGGGAATATAGACCTATAAACTGCTAATATAATTAATGTAAATACTAATAATATGGAGCTGTCGACAAAATGTTTTCTGGGAGATTTCAAGGATACTCCAATAAGTCTCTTTTAGGAGATGGTTAAACCAGACATTTTGGGCAGCCCCCGTGGCTTAGCGGTTTAGCGCCGCCTTCAGCCCAGGTCGTGATCCTGGAGTCCCACGACAGGCTTCCTGCATGGAGCCTGCTTCTTCCTCTGCCTGTGTCTCTGCCTCTCTCTCTCTCTCTCATAAATAAATAAATAAAATCTTAAAAAATAATACAATAAAATCTTAAAAAAATAATAATAAAATAAAATAAAAAAATAAACCAGAAAATTTCCCACAGATAAGAAGGGTGTCCTTCTAGGCACTTAAGTATTAGGATCAGCCAATTCATATCTGTATGTGAAAACATTTTAAAGTAACATTATTATATTTTTAAAATAACATTATTAATACCAGCTAATACTAATAATACATATTAATTTACAGAAAAAGAAAGCACTACATGGTGGAGATCATTCAGGTTCTACAAATTCCATATCTTCTCTTAACCCTGTGAGAGAACATGGTGTGTTGTTTGAATGCTCACCTGAAAAGTGGACAGATCAGAGAAAAGCACCACCAGTTATGGCTTACTGGGTAGTAGGGTAAGTCTGGAAAAAAGTATTTGAAAGTGAAGTAAAATGTTAGAAAAGTGAAAGAAAGGTTGTAAAAGAGATAAACATTTTAAGATACAGGCATAGAATTGCTAATTTAACTATAGTATATGTTTTTAAGGTTTTTATTTATTTAAGTAATCTCTACACCCAGTGTGGCGCTTCAACTCATGACATTGAGAATTGAGATCAAGAGTTGCATGCTCTTCTAACTGAGCCAGCCAGGTGTCCCTCTAACTACTATAATATTTTAATACATTTTAGAATTTTGTTTTATTTACTAAGTACCTCCTTTAAATTCCTCTTAAAGTCTTCTCACTTTTTCTTCTTTTGTTTTTAAACTTGAGTATAATTAACATAGTGTTATATTAGTCTCAGGTATACAATATTCAACGGTTCTGTGTATTACTGTGTATTACTCAGTGCTCCTCTTGATAAATGTAATCCTTAATCCTCATTTTATCTTTCACCAATCCCCCTACCTACCTCCCCTCTGATAACCACCAGTTTATTCTCTGTATTTAAGAGTCTGGTTTTTGGTTTGTCTATTTTTCTTTGTTTCTTAATGTCTACATATGAGTGAAATCATATGGTATTTGTCTTTCTCTGACTGCCAAGGCTTTTTCTATTAAAATAAAAAGCTGATTTGGTTACCTTATAAAATTATAGTAGTAATACACTAAAAGATAATGACTCCACAGTTTTACTGCTGTTGCCTTCCTTCTGTCCCTACTTCTTACTTTTCCTCCCTGTTTCCTTTCTTCACCTCTTCCTTCTCCCCCCCACCCTACCCACCAACTATGAGACCCTGACTGACCTAGTCCTTGCCCCACCTCTTTCACCTTCTATCATTCCTTCTTTTTTTTTTTTTTTTTTTTTTTTTTTTATTTATTTATGATAGTCACACAGTGAGAGAGAGAGAGAGGCAGAGACATAGGCAGAGGGAGAAGCAGGTTCCATGCACCGGGAGCCTGACGTGGGATTCGATCCCGGGTCTCCAGGATCGCGCCCTGGGCCAAAGGCAAGCGCCAAACCGCTGCGCCACCCAGGGATCCCTCTATCATTCCTTCTTCATCCACTGTGCAAGCCACATTGACATCCATTGATTCTTGTTCCTGCAATTCCTTCTGTGTGAAATGTTCTACCTCTTAACCTTCATATATCTGGCTTCTTGATATTCAGATCAGTACTAGCCTCAAAAAGAGAATCCATGATCTCTTTCCTGCATTAAAGCGGCTACTCAGTTATTGTTTCTTTTCTTGTTTATGGTCTTTCTCCCCTTCACTACAACATTAGCTTTCTGAGGTCAGGAACTGTATATGTCTTGTCCACCACTGGTACCTGCAACAGCACCTGGCACGGAGTCACTTGATAAATATGTAACACTTTAGTAAATGGAGTTATGCTTGGGAAAACGTGGTGATGAGAGTGTGGTATGGCAAACACAAATATAAAGTCATAATCATTGCATCAATGGTCTTATATCCACCAGAAGAAATATGTAATATGCTCAAATATATATGTATTTATAGATATACAGAGATTTTTTTTTTTTAGATAGAATAAGTTAGTTGATACAACCAAATCCTATAGGAAGGGGCAAAAATCTACATTGGGATTACAAAGAAAGGCTTATAAATTTCATTTGATCTAGTTTGAAATGAATTAGATTTGGTTAAAACATTCTAGAAAAAGGATGGGATGAACAAAGACCGAAATAAGGGGAATCATAAGGCATATAGCACTTGAGTAGCCCGATTTGCCAACATGATAAGGGAGTGACATATACAAGATAAAATGAAAGATCAGGCTAGAAAGCTAAGTTAGGACCATTGCAGAGAGCCTTCAATTTCTGACTAAGGAATTTAATTTTGAGTGAAATGTTGAGGCACTGAAAGTTCTTTGAGTTGGGGTAAAGAATTGATGCAGGAAGGGACACAGAGTTAGGTGAGACCAATGTTATGCAGACACCTACCATGCAGTACCAAACTGTAAGACAAATGTTACCAAAGCAGTAATCCTGTGTGTTGGTCCATGAGATTTAGAATCGCCTGAGTCACTTGTTAAAATCAGAGATGCCTATGGCCCCACCCCAGGCCTACTAACAAAATCTAGGATAGTAGGACTCATTTTTAATAAGCTCCTTGTGAATGTGATGTGTCACCAACCAAGCGTGGGAGGAGCATCAGCATAAGCTCAAGTTTGTGATCAGAGCTGTGCTATTGGGAGATGGAGTTAGGAGCAGCAAAGGGTCCGTGGTGTGGACACAGAAAAAATAGAGATAAACTTAGGCATACATGCAGGTAAAGCCTTAACTACATTCACAACAGTTGAACTAGAAAGAATCAAGAGGTATTGAATTATGATGATGCAGAATTATATAGAATAGAGAGATTTAAGGAAGTCAGGCAAAATATCTTATTTAAATTGTTTGATTTATATATACTAGTGTTCACTAAATATATAAAAATTTTAACTTTAAAAAATCAAAGTTTCAGTGGTATTTCCAATTCAGTACTATACAAAGAAAGCAATCATATACTTAATGTTTTAATAATAATTAACATTTAGAAAGTAAATGGCAATGTTTAATAATTGTACTTAATGATGATAATACAGTTGGCTTTATTATAGCAATAATGACTAGATTTAATATTTTAAAACTGAAGGGTAATATATATTGATCAAATAGGCTTTTTACACTCTGGAAAAATAAAAATAATTGACTTATGGCATATTTTATTTATTTAAAAATAAATCTAGCTGTATTTCCCCCTACTATAGATTTAGATTAGTGGCTTTTAATTCACTATGAATTCTGTCAGAAAGAAAAATAAAATAAAATAAATTGAAAGGTTGGAGTTTTTTCCCTTTGATTTTTGTTTTTTGAATTTCTGAAATGAGTGTGTTCTTTTCCTTTACAGGAGACTTTTTCTTCATCCCAAACTTCAAGAACTTTATGTCTGTTTTCATGATTCAGTCACAGAAATTGCCATAGAAATGGCTTTTAAATTGTTCTTTGGATTAACCCTGTAGCTGTGCTTTCTTGATGCACAGCAACTGTGCATATAACAGAGAACCATGTTAGAATTGCTGAAACCCATACACAAGAAGATAAGGGTAGCTTCTTTTACCTGTTCAGTTTTGAACATAATGCTGTTAAATATTGAGGTGATATGCTCTTGGATTTGATGCACTAAATCTTATATAGTATTGTGAGGCTTTTGAAAAGATACTTGATCAAAATATGAAGAAGGGATTGTTAACTTATTTCCATTCTAGTATATAATGTTAATTTATTGACTAGTTTGAAATAATGTGAAGTGTGTTATATAAAATTAATAGAGGACATATTTGTTGTCAAGACTAATAATGATATCTGGTAAAAGAATCACAAAATCTGGAGGGTGTGACCAGGTCCTGAATTAATTAGTGCTCTGACAATAAGCAAGTGTTTATACCTCTCTGAGTTCAGAATTTTCATTACAAATGAGATGATTGTATTGAGACTTCTAACGTCCCTCTTAAGTAACAAAGCAGTTTTCTTCTTGCCTACTGCTCAGTACCTACATTTGTAATGTCCAAGTACTGATTCCCTATTAGATCAAATTCTTTTCTTTAGTTTAAGCATTTTAATAGATACCTCACCATGCGGTAGAACTGAGGAATGAAAATTTAACTTATTTTTCTATTTATTTGATTTTCTCTACTCTTTCCAGTCAGCTCTAGCTCTACTAGAATATAGTTTTTGAACTATTTGTACATAAACTTATTTTTTTCAGGTATGCACACACATTTTATACAGTTCATAAATTTCAGGACAGCTATATGTAATCTTTTAAAAAAATCTAATCATGTTAAAAACACTGAAAAAGTTGGATTAAAGAAATCCTATGATGACTTCTTCTGTTAAATACTAATGTCTGTCTTATAAATATAGTTAGTTATATCCTGGGTTTTCCCAAAGGGAGGTACCTTAATGAACAATAGTTTACTTGATTGACCTTTAGTAGAGAAAGAAAACTAATGAGATAAGAATTTTCTTTGGCAGTGGGAATTTGGTGGATTGAGAAAACCTAACAAATACTGCATTGTTAATTAACACTTTACCCAGTGGATCCTCCTGAAGTCTCATATGCCCCCAGACTACAATATTGGGGTTTTTTTCTTCTTCAGGACTTAAGCTCTGTAAGGGAAATTCTGCCAACACGTCTAAAGTCAGTCTCTATTGCCCCCTCCTTGAACGCCTGGAACATGGGCCTCCAGTGTTAGAACCAAGTGTAAAACACAGTGGGTGGCTTAGAAGAAACACTGTTCTCTCTGTATAATCAGCTTGAGAGATTTTCATCCAGATCTTTTGTCCTATTAGTGGCTTGTGAGCCTTAACCGGGCAAGAAACTTGGGTTCTTGAAATGTAAAAAATGGCTGGAAATATCCTCCCCTTAAAATCACAGTATTGGTCAGGATGGTAGATAGACTCAACCACTGCCTTAGCTCTGTGTACATATGTGGGTAATAAGGCAGTTTGTTTAAAAGTATTTGTTAAATACCTAAAATTTCTTAATGTGTCCCCCAAAACACCAGGAGCTATTTTCAATACCAAGACTTATTAATAAATGTAGCTATTAATCATCTCAGAGTTTCAAAAGACTGAACTAAAACCTGGGGTTTCATTATAAGGGCTTTTCTGTTTTGTTTAATGAAATTTTGGCCTTTTGAACTGCTTTCCTGGTGTCAAAGCATCTTGAGATCACCGATCAATAACTAAAATAAAAAGACAAAATAGACTACTTAATAAGAGAAAAATCATTTGCTATATTATAGATATATACCCTGTTGCAGAGACATTGCATTTTTTTTGAAACATTGCATTTTTTAATAAATAAAACCAAACATCGTGGTTGTCATCTCTAAATGGATACCAAAGTAAGCACTGTAACTAAACTAAACCTAGCTGCCCATTTTTCCAAATATATTCAGATACACATCTGAAAGATCAATCTGGTTATTGGCCAAAGAGTGCCTATCTGCTACTTTATTAAATAAAAGGGAACAAAGTGATGGTGCAGATACCCCAGAGAGTATGCTTTAGCTGATATAGAAACATTATTAGCATTCTGCAAATGTTCCCTTCTACCAGATTATTAATGCAAAAGATTGTAGAACTATCATTTTTGGAAATACCAAGTACTGTTTAATATCACCATCATATATCTTTTAGCCCCCCAAAACTACATTTTAGATTCTACACCTTCCTTCCTTCTCCCTCCTTCCCCTTTCTTTAGCATTCTTTTGTTTCTTTGTTAGATTAGAGAACTTTATTTAGTAAGGGATAGTTTCTTATTTGTGCCAAGGAACTGTTAATGATGATGCACATCACAAGATAGTAAATTTGTGGTGCCTACTTTTTTATATTTCTGATACAAATGGTAAAAGTTATGAAACCAATTTACTAGATTTGTCTGCTTTGAACATTCTTAAAAATAATATTGTGAATTATTATTTGTTGTCTTTGTAAGTTCCTTCTAAATAGTGCCTGGCACATGTCACGTGCTATAAAAGTGCTAGCTACTACCACCACCACCACTTATTATTATTAGATGATATCCATTGGTTAAAAACCAAGGAGTCAGCTAAATCATACCTGCTACTGTACAAAATGTTGGAAAAAAAGCAGAGAAAAGTTATTCAGCACTAAACACTTTTGAGAACAAGGATGTATACTTTATTTTAAAATCTATTATTAAATGTTACTAAAACTTTTATCTATTACCTAAACTGTGTGAATATAATTTAATTTTGTAGAGTTGTATTTCTATATTCTATATAACTGAAGCTATTTTTATATTGATAGTCTTTAATAAAGATGGTTTGGAGGCTTATTTGCAGTTGTGTTGTCTTTTCATGCACTCATCCAGCAAATATAGACTTTCTACTCCGTGCCACGTACTGTTCTCGATGCCAGGGATAAAACAGTGAATAAAACAGCCAAAAATTCCTGCCTTCAGGGCCCTGATGTTCCCATGGGAAGGGCAGGCAACAAATAAGAAATAAAGAAAATATATTGATAAAAGCTAAGAGGAAAAAAATGTGAAGGAAGAAAATGGGATATGAAGTGTGAGAAATTGAGTGGCCAGGAAAAGGATTGCTGAGATGACCCTAGACCTGAACTAAGAGATAACTAACCATGCTGATTTCTAAGGAAATCTGAGTGAATAACTCAAAGGCCCTGAGACTCTATACTTTCAATATCAACATATAAATCACCAGAACTTTTTTTATTCCCTAAATCAGTAAATAAAATGCAATGCAGCTAAGCGTTTTTAGCTCAGTGTATTGAAAAGAGCTGATTCATAGCTCTTAAGGTTTAGGGGGAAAAAAGCTACATTTCTAAGTACTTTCACTTTTGCTGTCTTCTATGAATGAATATATGTCAGAAGTACGCTTGAGCATATCATAAAGCAATATGCTATAAACATTGTCAACTATAGAGTCAAAAGTGGGATTGGAGGGGAAAGGGAGGCAAGAAAGGAAGGAAGAGAAAATCTCCCCAGAGAGGAGAACACTTGCTTTTTCTTTCTGAGATGTGTATGCTCCCTGTAACCAGAGATGTCCCTTTGACCTCTCTTGGCAACTTAAAAAGTCTTGCCTGGAGTGTGACTCAAGTATTCCCCTCCCCCTCCTTAAATTTTTCCCTGTGTGCTTGTTAATATTTCAAATTCCCTTAAAGGAGACTAAAGCCTTTCATTATTCGTATTTTTGCAGATAAAACATCAGTCACTTCTTGAATTTGCAATGGATTTCACAAAGGATTTTGAAGTTCATGCAATGAGACAACTTTAAATCTTTTAAGCCTAGGAATAATGATTAATGCAATTGTTTCAGAAAGATTAATCTGGCAGCAGCATGTAAAATGGAGAGAGATTTGGCTGAAAAGCCAGTTAAGAGTGGAATAAGCTGCTATAGAAAGGAAGGTAGCACCAAACATGGTACCAGTAGGACTTACCAGCTGGTTTTACATGAGGTAATCAAAATATAAACAAAATTCCTTCTCTGGAATCCTGGTCTAAATATATGGTTTTGTACTAGTGACAAGTAGTATTAAAAGTATAAAAACACTAGAGGGACATCTGGGTGGCTCAGTGGTTGAGCGTCTACCTTTGGCCCAGGGCCTGCCTGATCCTGGGGTCCCAGGATGAGTCCCACATCGGGCTCCCTGCATGGAGCCTGCTTCTCCCTCTGCCTGTGTCTCTGCCTCTCTCTCTGTGTCTCTCATGAGTAAATAAATAAAATCTTAGAAAAAGAAAGAAAGAAATGAAAAAACTAGAACCTCAAGTTCAGAAAAGTAACTCATCTCATGTTTTATAGTTTCAAGACTGCTGGTCCTACAGAGTTATGAGATGATAAAACAATATTAGCAACTATCAAACGAGCTATAGAAAGAAATCAGGAATATATTAAATGCTACCACCGAAGTATCCCCAGGATGTACAAAGTGAAAAAAAAAGCAAGGTGAAAGAAAATAGAGCAAGACATTATGTGCAGGACAGATGTACCCCTACTGCCTATTCTTGCCCAGTCAGACCTGGGTCTGGTAAGCCTCCAAATGAATTCTCAAAGTGCTGTATGGGTATAGATGTCAAGTAGAGACGTCACCAAGACCTCTTCTGAGACACCGTGAGATAAAAACTTTTCTTAATACTAAGAAGCGATTTGTTCCACTCATTCTCTCAGTGCAAGTGGAGTTCTCCAGCAGCTACACGTGGCGTGGCACAGCACAGCAGGGACAAAAGCAGCCATGTAAATCCAGCTGTCTTTTATTAAGCCAGGCATTAACGAGATTTTCAAACATACAAAACAAGGCTATTCTCAATTTTTTGTTTTGAAAAAAAAGTTACTTTTTACTTAAAAATGTTATTTACATCATGGTTTATTATTTTAAGTGAATCAATATTTTTAAAATTTTTATTTATATATTTATTCATGAGAGAGAGAGAGAGAGAGAGAGAGAAAGGCAGAGACACAGGCCGAGGGAGAAGCAGGCTCCATGCAGGGAGCCCGACGTGGGACTCGATCCCAGGTCTCCAGGGTCACGCCCTAGGCCGCAGGCGGCGCTAACCCGCTGAGCCACCCGATGAATCAATATTTAAATGTTCGGTTTCACCTTCTGAAATGATACCAATATATAGATAACACAAAAACAAGCTTCCTCGTGGTCTTTTTATGAGTGAAAGGGGGTCCTAAAATAAAAAGGTTGTGAAACACTGTTCTAGAACAGGCCCTTAGTTCTCCCCCTTGTACATTAGAATCCCGAATCTTAGTTAAAACAGCAGAGCCCTGTCCCCTCAGGTCAGTCTGGATAAAGAACCACTGCTCCGGATAAAACTACCAATTTCAATAAAATTCAGAAGAATGAGGAACATGTTAAATTAAGGTACTGGGGGTGCAACCAGCAAAGGCAGACTTAAAACGGGACCAGATAAAAACAATCCCTGCCAAACACAAGGAGCAGAAATTGAAGCGATTTGCAAGAGAAAAATGGGAGGGTAACGACCCTAGGAACGGAAACTACCCTTGGCGAGCCCCACACGGTTGCTTCACGACGCTGCCCTCGTCTCGGCTGCCGACCTCGCACTGGCCTCGCGCCGCCGGCTCCCTCCCGGCGCCTCTGCGCCTGCGCACCCGCGGCCTGCGGACCCCGCCCCACAGCGAGGCTTGTCCAGGCGGCACCCGGCGCGGAGGAGCCACGTGTCGGGAGTCACGTGTCTGGTGCCGGAAGGCGGGAGGCCGTTGGAGGCGCCTGCGCAGCAGCTCCGGGGAACCCGGCCTTGCGCGCTGATCTCCCGGCATCCTGCGCGCTACTTTCCCGCCAGGACGACGCTGAAGCGGTTTTCCGCCTCCCTTCGTCGTCTTCCTCCGGCCTGTTTCCCGCTGCCGCTGCCCGTCTTTACCTCCAGCGCCCCGCCATGCAGCGTGAACCTCCGAAGAAGAGGCTAGAGAAGAAGTCGGGAAAGCAGCTCTTTGACCACGCTTCCTTTGGGAAGGACCTGCTGGCGGGCGGCGTCGCCGCGGCTGTGTCCAAGACCGCGGTGGCGCCCATTGAGCGGGTGAAGCTGCTGCTGCAGGTGCAGGCGTCGTCCAAGCAGATCAGCGCCGAGACGCAGTACAAGGGCATGATGGACTGCCTGGTGCGGATCCCCCGCGAGCAGGGTGCGTACCCGAGGCAGCCGTGCCAGCCCCGCCCGTTCTGGGCCACCTTCCCAGAAACGGGGAGGCGGGGGGGGGGGGCTGTGGGGAGCGGACTGCACCACCGCCGCATCTGGCGGGGATGAGTTTATTTCTTCACCTGTTGAGAATTCTTTTTTTTTTTTTAAAGATTGTATTTATTTATGAGAGAAACACAGGCAGAGGGAGAAGCAGGCTCCATGCAGGGAGCCCCACGTGGGACTCGATCCAGGGTCCTCGGGGGGTCACGCCGCGGGCTGAAGGCGGCGCTAAACCGCTGAGCACCCCCCCCCCCCGGGGATCCCTAAAATTCAGTTTCTTTTTAAGATTTATTTATTTATTCCTGATAGATATATATGTATATATATATATATAGAGAGAGAGAGAGAGGTAGAGACCCAGGCAGAGGGAGAAGCAGGCTCCATGCACCGGGAGCCCGATGTGGGATTCGATCCGGGGTCTCCAGGATCGCGCCCTGGGCCAAAGGCAGGCGTCAAACCGCTGAGCCACCCAGGGATCCCCTAAAATTCAGTTTCTTAACCAATTTAAGAGGCTATACTTTGTGGCGCCGAGAAGGCCTGTAAGGTGGCCAGTCCTGGGTGGGAGAGACCACCACATTCTCCTCGTCTTAGTTTTCTCCTTAACATCAGGGTTTACACCTTGGTGCAGTTGTGTCCAGCTCAGAAGAAAAGTGGTTGACACCCCCACCCCCACCCCGTAGGATTGAGGGAGATTCCATTAGGTACTTTGCTGATATGTTAACAGGTGCTTTAAATTGCTCAAATATTTGTGGAAATAACACTTTTTTAAAAAAGATTTTATTTATTCATGAGAGAGAGAGAGAGAGGCAGAGACACAGAGGGAGAAGCAGGCTCCATGCAGGGAGTCTGACGTGGGACTCGATCCTGGAACTCCAGGATCGCGCCCCGGGCTGAAGGCAGCGCTAAACCGCTGAGCCGCCAGGATTGCCCGGAAATAACACTTTTGAGATAAAGTTACTCAGATGTGGAAGCATCTGAGCCTCCCAGTACTCTAGTTCTTATTCAGTAAAAAGAGGTTCTGTTTATTCTTGAGAACTACTGAAGGCCAGGGCCGAAACCAAAGAGGCATTTACCTCTGCAAATTTGTGGCGCCCCCCCCCCCCCGCCAAAACTCAATAAAAACAAATGATTTAATGCAGTATTTTTTTTAAAGTCAAAATGCGAAAAATCCAAGATGAGCAAAATATAAAAATTTTATTATTTTTTTAAAAAGATTTTACACATTTATTCATGAGAAAGAGAGAGAGAGAGGGAGGCAGAGAGGCAAAGACACAGGCAGAGGGAGAAGCAGGCTCCCTGCTGGGAGCCCAATGCGGGACTGGACCCCGTGATCCTGGGATCCCGGCCTGGGCCAAAGGCAGCGCCAAACCGCTCAGCCACCCAGAGATCCCAGCAAAATATAAAAATTTTAAATAAAGTCAGTATTTTGCATCAGCTTTTCCTTAATTAAAATTCTAATTTTTTTCCAGTTTTATTGAAATGCTTTACAAGGAGTAGTGACCGCTCTGTTAACCATTAAATACCCTCCTGTTGCAGAACTGATCCTAAGTTAGCTAAGTGCATAAGAGAATAAATTTGTTAACGACTTTTCTATAATCCACCCATGTAGTTGTATCCAAGAGAAATAGGTCTATTATGTATTCTGAACAAGAAGAGAAGTGGCTTAAACTCTTCCACTCCTAAGTCTGTGGTTATTCTTCATGATAAAAGCTCTCTCCCCAGAGATATAGCTGCAACTCCTCTTGACCTGCTGGGTATAGTATTTTGGGTGGAGTATAACTTTTAAGGCATCATCTAAGCTGTAAATTTAAAATCCCCATATGGGGAGCTGAGTTCAGATCTTTCATAGGGCTTCACATTTCTCCACTCCCATTTGTTTTATCAAAGCTTCCCCTTTCCCCCAAGATTTTTATTTTTCTTAAGATTTTATTTATTTATTAATGAGAGACAGAGGCAGAGACACAGGCAGAGGGAGAAGCAGGCTCCATGCACGGAGCCGGACATGGGACTCGATCCCAGGTCCCTGTGATCACGCCCTGGACCGAAGGCAGCGCTAAACCACTGAGCCACCCGGGCTGCCCTCCACCAAGATTTTTAAGGGAAAGTAGGAACCTATCTCTTCTTGATTTATATTCTAAGACCTCTTCAGAGAAGTAGGGGACTCTCTTATTAGTTAATCTGCTTTAAATATTTAGTCAGGTAAAGTTAAGTATTCTGGTCAGATTGTGCTGATCAGCACTAATTTATTTCATATTTTAAGTGTTTTAAATGATATTTAAACCTAAACATATTCATTATAGCTTTTGTAAATAGAGATTGTTCTGAATAGTGTTCCAGTGCCCATTTTCCTTCCAATGAAATGATCATAAGCAGAACTTTAAGATATTTTTTCCTATATGCAGTTTTTGTTATGAATATATGGGATCCCTGGGTGGCGCAGCGGTTTAGCGCCTGCCTTTGGCCCAGGGCGCGATCCTGGAGACCCGGGATCGAATCCCACGTCGGGCTCCCGGTGCATGGAGCCTGCTTCTCCCTCTGCCTGTGTCTCTGCCTCTCTCTCTCTCTCTCTCTGTGTGTGTGTGACTATCATAAATAAATAAATAAAAAAAAAAAAAAGAATATACACACCATGGTATATTCTATGCTAAGAGATTAGGATTCACGACAGGGATAATATTGCCATCTAGGGGCATTTTTACAGACTTGTAGGGAATTTTTTGTTCAGCACGGTAGAAGGGTGTAATCCTTAATTGCAGTGATGTAAAAGGGAAAAGCCAGGGATGATAAACATCCTGCTGCTGTACATGGCCAATCCTACACAGCGAACACTTACCCTGCAGGCTGAATGATTCAGTTCTCCCACTGTTTATGGTTTTCTAAGACCAAAACCTAACTCTTATTTACTTACAAATGATCTGGGACATAATGTCCATATACATAGCAGCCTCCATGGGAGGACGAATATTATACTTTGTTTTGTTCAGAATTGTGCTGAGGAGTGGCTCAGGGTTGAACATGATCTCAGGGTTGTGAGATGGAGTCACATCAGGCTCTGTGTCAGGCTCTGCGCTGGGTGTGTGTGGAGGCTGCTTAAGTCTCTCTCTCCTTCTTCCGCTGGCCTCCCCCCCCCCCACAAAAAAAATTGTACTGAGAGTTGTTCACCATTGGGAAAACCAGTTCTTGTGATATTTGGTCACCACTTAAGTATTGAATTCATGATGATTGTATGTATATATACACAAATATATTAGTCCCTTTTACAGGAAATATTAATGGTATCTTAATGATAACATTATTAAGTAGAAGCAAGCATCTGACTATTTTGTCTATGGTGTGTTCATGCCTCATCCATTTACTAATTAAAATACCTATTCTATTCAAAACATCTTTATTTTCTCTTCCTATATAGTAGGGAGGGCATTATATGGATTTGTAAAATATTGTCGAAGAGGTCACAGTCTTTGAATTCTATTTCTAGATAGTAAAGGATGTATTGTAAAATATTTATTCTGTAGAGAGGACTTGAGGCTGGTGAGGTTAAGAATCACTATGGTAAATCATTCTGGAACTCTACTAGGCAATCAAGTTCTGAAATTGTTATTTTCTGGAATTTATCTTCTATTGCTGTCTTGAAAATCAAGACACATCCCCCTTTCAAATGTTCTGAAGTTTCTTTTGTGTTTCATGTTTGCTCTAATCTTACTGATAGCTTCTCTTTAGGCTTCTCTTTAACCTGAGAGACATAAATTCATAAGGCACAAGTAACAAGTAGATGCTCTCGCAGTCTTCTTACCTTATCTCTGCATTCTTTCTGCCCCAAGAATAGATCTCTCAGCTTTATTTATTTTTTTTTTTTTTGATCTCTCAGCTTTAAACCTCTCTTTGGGTACCTCTCTTTTTATAAGCTTTCCTTGGCTTTTAAAAGCTTCTGAATTAATCTTGACTGATGCTATTCTTAAAGATTTATTCTATTCTTTTGTTGATTGTAGGGCCTTCCAGCTTTGTTTGCATACTTTTATTTAATACTGCTTAAACCTTTATCACACAAAAAATGATTGTTTATTATAGAAAGTTACAAAACATAAAGAAGCAGAAAGTAAGACAAATCACTACTAATATCAGCACAGCTAACAACGTTTTGGTGTCTGTGCTATAATTCTTCACTGGGCACAATATGCAGATATGTGAGAATATTTTAAATTAAAATAATTGTTTTATTTAATATATTGTAAATACAGTCTTTTAAAGATCTGATCTGTGCGGCTCATTTTTAAGCACCTACCAGAATTCCCTTTTTCTCTTAGGAGTTTCTGGCTATGAGGTTTTTTATATCTTGAAGACAGTATTTTGGGGTATGGTAAGAAAGTATTAGGCATTGACTTTAAATAAAATGGGAAAATAAACTTGACTGATACTTGGTATATGAGTTAGCTCTGGCACCTGTGCATGGGCCAAATGTAAATTATATATTATAGAATACTAAGGCATTCTGAAAAAAAGTATGAATTACACACTGTAGAAGGGATGATAGGCACCTTTCCTCGATTATTATATAATAAACATAGTTTATGTTTGCCAATTGGATTTATAGAGAGAAGGCTATTTGAGTATTTGAAATTATCAAGAAGTCTATTTGAAATATAGGTTCATGTATACTGTTCTTAAGAATGAACGTTACCCTAAGGGTGCCTTGAGATAATAGCAAATGATGGTATAAAAACATCATGATTAGCAAGATACCTAAAAATATTAATTGTTCAAATGAATGCTAAGTTGAACCCTAATATCTCCTGGCCAGTTTTTCCCAACCACCCTATCTAAGTAGCCCTTCCTCACTCCTCCATCTCCATGTACTAGTTTTGTTCTTATAGCCACATATTTATTTGTTCATTGTCTATTTCCCTGGGTCCTGTCCCTCAAAATATAAGCTCTATAAGACAAAGAAATTTGTTCCTAATGCTATCCCTAGCAAGTCTGCTATGTACTAGGTACTAAGTAAGAAGTTTTTAAATGAAAAATCTTTATTTCATTCTTTAATTTTTGTTTTGGGTATATTTTTAAAGCGTGCAATGTGTGTGTATATATATACATATATATATGATTTTTTAGTATATACATATCTGAAAGTCATGCTTACATTTTTTTCTACTGATAGACATATTATCAAAACATGTTGTAGCTGACCAGCCTAGAATATATATACCCAAACATCTCTAGCATTCTCATTCTTGGCGAATAAGTTCACCAGTAAATGGCCTCATAACTTGTTCTCATTTTCCCATCAGATCTATTTTAGTACTTTTGTTTTTTTGGTTTCAAGTTTTTATTTAAATGCCAGTTAACTTACAGTGATGGTAATGGTAGTTTCAGGTGTATAAATACAAACAGCACCCAGTGCTCGTCACAATACCTGCCCTCCTTAATACCCATAATCATGTCATGCTTATAAAATATTCAACCATATATCTATTGCAATTAGAGCTCAATAAATTTTAACTCTTTAATTGGTATGTATGCTTTCCTAAATTTACTAACTGTATTCCTGATATTCGTTTGTAAATGAATATATTTAGGGATTAGCTTGCATTATACATAGAGTAGGTTTTTGTAGTCTGTCTGAGGCAACCTACATAGATACAAAGTGTACTTAAAGTATAGTTGAATAAAACCTTGAAACCTGGCCCCCCCAAAATAATATTTTTGTAGAAAATACATTTAGAATTTCACTTTGAGGTTCCTTTCCCTATGCACTCTAGCAGAGTCACTGAAGCAACTAAGAGCATGGTATAGCAGTGAGATGCAAAGAAAGGAATAATAATTTGTTAAGGGTGATCTATGGAAAAAGATTAAAACAGGAGGGTTTTTTTAAAGATTTTATTTATTTATTTGAAAGAGAGAGCAAACACAAGGTCGGAGGAAGAGTAGAGAAAGAGTGAGAAGCAGGCTACCCACTGAGCAGGAGGCCAATGTGGGACTCTATCCCGGAACTCCGGGATCACAAACTGAACAGGAGGCAGAAACTTAACCAAGGCTAAGCCAACCAGGTGCCCCCAAAGAGGAGTTCTTAACCTGACACTGTAGCTTCAGGGAATCCATGAATTCTGTGAAATCTATGCAAAAATATTTAAGGTATGTGAGATTATATTATTTCAGACATAACCCATTAAGAGCTGCCAGTTTTCCTGTTATACTTCAAGGGATTTATTTCTTTCTAGATTTTTATTGAGATATTAACATTTATTTTGGGGAATTTTCTAGGTTTTTTTTTTTTTTCAGGCAAATGCATTTTTGCTAAAAAGGATACATTCTTCAGCCAACTCCAGCAAACCCCTTGACTCATAATAAACACAGCACCTTGTCATGGCTTCATATTAATTTCCAGATGTCTTTGTCATCAAAGTCTTCCATTTATATTTAATTCATTAGCCAAAGTTACAAACCTTTATATTGCTCTTATGTATGACACTCCTGTTTTTTTTTTTTTAATTTATTTATTTGAGAAAGAAAGTGTGCGTGCTAAGTGAGGAGGGATAGAGGGAGATGGGAGAAACAAAAACTCAAGCAGACTCCCCTCTGAGTGTGGAGCCCAGTGGGGGGTTGGATCTCACAACTCCGAGAATATAACCTGAGCTGAAATCAAGAATTGGACACTACTCAGGCACCCCTGTACGACACTCTTGTGAAGTAAATATTAATTCAAACTATAATAATAATTACAGAATTATTAATAACTTTTAATCTAAAAACCCATAATATCTCAGTATCATTCAGCTGAGTGAGCCAATTCCAAAATGACTATTAATATTTAAAACCCATGTTTAAAATGGAAATTCTAGTATTTTTTAATACATGACACTTTTTCTAAACTCCGTTTTATTTTATTTTTTAAGATGTTATTTATTCATGAGACAGAGAGAGAGAGGCAGAGACATAGGCAGAGGGAGAAGCTGGCTCCTCACAGGGAGCCAATGCCAGACTCAATCCCCGGACCACGGGATCACACCCTGAGCCAAAGGCAGCCACTCAACTGCTGAGCTACCCAGGTGTCCCTCAAATGGGATTTAAGTTGGAAAAAAAAAACATTTGTTTAAAAAATAATAATAAATGGGATGCCTGGGTGGAGCCTGCTTCTCCTACCTCTTCCCATGTCTGACTCTCTCTCTCTCTGTCTCTCATGAATAAATAAATAAAATCTTTTTTAAAAATCCCATTTGATCATATTGGCAATTTTCCAGTCAATATGTTCTTTTTGATCCTTTTAAAATTGACTTTGTCTTCTGCCAGTAACCTGTTGTTGTGTTACAATAAACCATGGTCTAGAAAACTATGTCCTATTCTTAAATATCATATTTCATTCTCTGTATGTCTCTTCTAGAGGTCTCACCTCTAAGAAATTACAAATGCTCTCTTAAATGTTTTCATTAGCAATGAAGAACTTAAAAATTACTTAAAATACCTCCAAAAGTTAGATTCACCAACCTCCCTCATACTTCATATGGCCATAACTAGTAAGAGATATTCCTGTATAATTTGCTTATATTTCTTATGTTTTAAGATTTTTATTTTGCTTCCATTAAAGAAAAAGTTGACTTTTCTTAGTATAGAAAATAACTGTGATTATTTATGGAAAAGTATTGTAGATAAAGGACTGAATTATTGAGCCAGATTGTTTGGGTTTGAATTCCAGAAGTACAGTTTTCTAAGTGCCCTTGGACAAGTTAGAAGTTCTTTTAAACTCATTCCCTCATCTTTAAAATGGAAGGACTAATAGTACCTTCTTCATAGGTGGTTATGGGGATTAAATGAATAAAAATAAGTTATTAGAACTTATTGTTTTTGTTAATATTGTCTCAAAAGTTTTTTTAATAATATTTTCCTTTTTAAGAAAGAGCTTTCTTTACCATTCTTTAATAATTTTAGGACTTTTTAAGATTTATTTCTTCAGAAACCCAAACCTAGAGTAGTGTTTTGGAGTCTGACACAAGATGTGACTAAATCCTGGTTGGCTATTAACTATGTCTGTAGAGAGTTTTTAAACTTTTAAAGTTTACACATGTATAATATGAGTACTATAGGTGAACCTACGTCAAAAGCATAATGTGGTGATTAAATGTAACACACAGCCTCTGGCCAGTGCTTGGCACATATTAAATACTTAGGAAGTGGTAGCATTTACCATTGTGTGTTAAGTGTCCTAGTGAAGACTGAGTCAGTTTTGAGTACTGAGATTATTTCTTGGCTATTAAATATGCTTCTTAATTATCTCTGTGCAGTTGCTTTACATGCAGTTTGGGATTCACTGAGATTCTATGTTGTTTTTTTTCCCCCACAAAGAAGACTTTCTTAGTTAACAATAAATATAACTTTAAGTTTCTAAGCATATCAGCCCAGTCAACTGAGATTATTTTCATCTGAATCTTTATCTTTAGAAGACTGATTCTGGGTATTCTCCAAGCTGGGACTAGAGGTATCCCATTCAGAATAGCCGGATCAAACCGTTGGACAATTTGCAACCTAGTAGAAACAACTATGGCTGCTGAAGAGATAGCCTATTGTATTGTAGGGCAGCTTGATTATAAAGTTAACACTGAATTAATAGGTAACACAATGACTGAATTTTAAGGATTGGTCAATCTATGAAGATTTGAAGTAGGAAGATTATCGAACTGGAAAGTTTTCTCCAGTCTCTCTCTGTCAGACCCCTGGAGACTGCTTTGAATTGTAAATTGATCTTTTTTCTGGCTAGGTTCCAGAAGGTAAAGATAAGGATATAGACTCCTTTTTTTTTTTTTAATTGAGAAAGAGAAAGGGAGGGAGGGCAGAGGTAGAGAGAGAGAATCTTAAGCAGGCTCCAAACCCAGCACAGAGCCCCACTCATAGCTCGATCTCCCAACCCTGAGACCATGACCTGAGCCAAAATCAAGAGTCAGACGTTAAACCGACTAAACCACCCAGGTGCCCCGACTTTATACTTTTAATACTTTTTCATTCTCATATGTATTATACACAAACCAATTTTGTTTAACCATAGGAATTACATATCCTATTTGGAAATGAGGTTAAGGGTTAATCACTAGCTTCTCTGATAAATACACGTGCCTGTTTTTCTACTAGGAAAAACCTTATATTCAATTGATAATACTTTCTGTAGATTTTTAGGTATCTAAGGCTTCTTATTGGAAATTGACAAAATTGGAATGGGGTACATGGAGTTAACACTGCCTGTTTTCTTTCTTTAAAAAAAAAAAGATTTTATTTATTTTTTCATGGGAGACACAGAGAGAGAGAGACAGAGACATAGGCAGAGAGAGAACCAGGCCCCATGCAGAAAGTCCAACATGGGACTCGATCCCAGGATTCCAGGATCTTGCCCTGGTTTGAAGGCTGACACTCAACCTCTGAGCCACCCAGAAGTCCCACGCTGCCTGTTTTCTTCAGTGAATTCACACATAGACTTAATTTTTTCTCATGAGAAAGGATATAAGTTTTAGATAGTTCAAATAACTAAGTTTTTTAAAGCTTTGGGAATTTTTTGATAATGCAAGTTTATATTTAATATGTTTTCTTTTGTAGGCTTCTTCAGTTATTGGCGTGGCAATTTGGCAAATGTTATCCGGTATTTTCCAACACAAGCTCTAAACTTTGCTTTTAAGGACAAATACAAACAACTTTTCATGTCTGGAGTTAATAAAGAAAAACAGGTGAGTACATTTTAATATTTATTATTTTTTAAGAAGTAGTGGGATTTGCCTTAACCTATGATGTTTTATTTAGGGAGAAGGTGCTGAGTGGTAGAAGAAATAATAATTAAAACAATACATGTTATAATCACTATTCTACAGCACTAGGAAAGTTCAAAAAAGCAATCCACAGATCTGTATCCCAATATATCTGAAGTAATTAATTTTCTAAAGAAGTACATTGTTGCATTTTAATGATTAAGGCTCTGTTTGGCTGAGTTTAAAGTGCCTAGAAGATCCAATCAAACAAGCAGGAAAGCAATAAATTTAAGTTGAAGAATTATTTTTTTATTGAAAAGGTGCCTTTTCTTTCAAGGTAATCACTCCCTTGATGACAGAATTTCAGTTTCAAAATTTCCTACTTGTATGAACTATATGTCATTTGTTTTGGTTTCTATTTGTTTTGCTGCCTCCACATACACTATACCACCTACATTACTCTTAAGGTGTCCCTTTACCCTTACAAAGTCTCTCTTCCCCTTTACTTTTTCTTTTTCTCTTTCTCCTAAAAAACCAACCAACCAACTGAGCTCTCCTAGCAGGTTCTTTACAAAAGCAGCTGTTTGTGGAACATTTTTTGTTGCTGTCTTTTAAAATTTCTTTTCATATCACTTATTCCCATTTCTTCATAATTTATATTTCATTAACAAATGTTTATTGAGTAATTTGCATTGTTATGTGATGGGAGGTATAAAGGTAATGAAAATTGTTCAGACTTTAAAGACCTAGATTTGTATCCTCATGCTGTTATTCAGCTGTGTGAATTTGTGAAAAGTCACTTCTGTGGTCCTTTGGCTTTCTTATCTGAAGAAAGCTTGTGGTGTTTAGATGAGATTACTTGTAAAACGCTTATCATGGTACTGTGCTTTATGATAGGCACTCAGAAAAATATTCCTATCTTTTTTAGCTGACTGCTGTAATAATTGGAACTTTTCTTGACTCAGAACCTATATGAGGGATTCCCCAACTCATGTATCCACTAGAACTCAAAGAACTCAGAAAAACTATTACACTCAATTTTTTTACAGCAAAAAGGATATAGATTAAAATCAGCAAAGGGAAGAAGCACATAGGACAGATTCCAAGAGAAACTAGACACAAGCTTCTATTTGTCTTCTTCTGGTAGAGTCATATGGATAGCACTTAATTCTCCCAGCAATAATGTGTGACAATAAATACGATGTGTTGCCAAACAGGGTTACTCACTTGAACATTGATGTCCAGGATTTTGGGGGGAGTTAGTTGCATAGGCATGGAATGTAACTGTCCTTAGCTACTTAGACTCCAGCTACCACTCCCTAACCTAAGAGATCAAACGATATAAGTTAGCCCAGTGTTCCAAGCCTACAAAAACTGGTGTTCACCATAAATTGATATACTAGCATAAACTGTCTGGTGTAGCCCCAAACCTCTGGCATACAAAGAGACTTTTATCAGGTATGATATTCCAAGGTCTTAGAAATTATTTTGAAGGAAGTGGTCAGGGACTGGTCCTGAAGATCGCAGTATATGAAGGGTTTGGGCAATAGAGGCCTGATGAATTAACTCTACTGAACACTTCCCACCCCACCTCCCCAAGAAAATAAATTCTGTAAGACCAAGCCAAATGGAGAAATTAACTCCTGAGTTAACCAGAATATTTATATTACTGGCATCTATTCCTAACTATAAATAACATTGCTTTAAAAGCTTTAAAGTTAACTCTGATCCTTGCTAAGTATCTGGAATAAATTTCAGATTAAAAAGTGGAGCCTGGGACACCTGGGTGGCTTAGCGGTTGAACGTCTGCCTTCAGTTCAGCTCAGGGCGTGATCCCAGGGTCTGGAATCCAGTCCCACATCGGACTCCCTGCATGGGGTCTGCTTCTCCCTCTGCCTATGTCTCTGCATCTCTCTCTGTGTGTCTCTCATGAGTAAATAAATAAAATCTTTAAAAAAAAAAGTGGAGCCTGAGATAAAAACATCTTTAGTATTTCTATGAAGACATTATTTAGGGTGTTAAGGTATTCAGTCATAATTAAGTAATATATTTAATTACACATTATTTGCTAAATTTTGATATTAATGACCCTTTTATTTACAATTTTGGCCATCAAATTTTTATCTCATCTTTGTCACCTCCCTGAAGTGAAAGAACTAAAAAAAAAGAAAAATTCATATTTTTGATTTCTTCCCTGGTCTTAAAAGAAGCAAGAAAGATAGAAAAAGCAAATATAGTATGTGAGTTTAAAAGTGACTGATCTACCACAGTGAAATATCACTGCACACCTATCAGAGTGGCTACAATGGTGACACCACCAAATGTTGGTGAGGTTGTAGAGAAGCTAGATTATTCTTATATTATTGGTGGGAATGTAAAATACTAACTACCACTCTAGAAAAGAGCATGATAGTTTCTTACAAATTAATCATGTGCTTACCATACAGCCCAACAGTTATACTCTTGGGCTTTATCCTGGAAAATGAAAACTTACGTTCACACAGAAACTAGGACCCCAAGATCATGATCTGAGCCAAAGTCAGATGCTTAACTGACTTAGGCAGCACTCAGCCACCTCAAGAAGAGTGATGTTCTTATGGTATTGTGGATGTAGTTAGTGTCACTGAATATACACTTAAAAATGGCTAAAATGGGGGTGGGGGCCCTAGGTGGCTCAGTAGGTTAAGTGCCTGACTCCTGGTTTTCACTCAGATCATGATCTCAGGGTCCTGAGATAAAGCCTCACATTGGGCCCCGTACTCAGTGGGAGTTTGCTTGAGGAAATTCTCTCTCTCCCTCTACCCCTGCATGTGGGTGTGTGTGCTCTCTGTCTCTCTCTCTCTCTTAAATAAATAAATAAATTTTTTTATTTTTTTTAAGATTTTTATTTATGAGAGAGAGAGAGAGAGGCAGAGACACAGGCAGAGGGAGAAGCAGGCTCTATGCAGGGAGCCCAACATGGGACTTGATCCCAGGTCTCCAGGATCACACCCTGGGCTGAAGGCAGCGCTAAACCACTGAGCCATCTGGGCTGCCCTAAATAAATCTTTTTTGAAAATGACTAAAATGGTAAATTTTATGTTATGTATATTTTACAATTGTTTAAAGAACTTGATATATGCAGCAACTTCAGATGCTAAGTGGAAAAAATCAATCTCAAAAGTTTTTTTCTGATTTTATTTATATAACATTCTTGAAATGTCAAATACATTGAGATGGAAACATAGTGGTGGTTGCCAGAAGAGAGGGTGGTGGTTATGGCTGTAAAAGGATAGATAGCATCAAGGGATCTTTATCATGGAACTGTGGACTGTGGCAATGGTCACATGGATCTGCATATGTGATAAAACTGCATAATCTAAATACACAAATGCATGTAAAATTGGTGAATTCTGGGGCAGCCCAGGTGACTCAGTGGTTTAGCGCCACCTTCCACCCAGGGCTTGATCCTGGAGACCTGGATTCGAGTCCCGCGTCGGGCTCCCTGCATGGAGCCTGCTTCTCCCTCTGCCTGTGTCTCTGCCTCTCTCTATCTCTCTCTCTCTCTCTCTCATGAATAAGTAAATAAAATCTTAAAAATTTGGTGAAGTCTGGATAAGAAGCTTTTTATCAATGTTGATTTCCTCTACTATAGTTATGCTATATATATGCTACATAGTTGGGGAAAATTAGTTGGAGGATTTAATAGACTGTATTATTTCTTAGGATTCTTGTGAATCTGAAATTGTTTCAAAATAAAAAGTTTTTTAAAAATAACCATGGTTCAGGCAGAGGTGCTCCTGGGTGGCTCAGTCAGTTAGGCATCAGTCTCTTGATCTCGGCTCAGGTCTTGATCTCAAGGTCTTGAGTTCAGGCCCCACTTTGGGCTCCAGGCCAGATGTGGAGCCTACTTTTAAAAAATAAAACAACAACCATGGTGGGGAGCTGTATGCCTACTATATATCGTTTCATTGAATTTTCACCTCACCCTCTGAGGTAGTTATTTTTATCCTAAATGTAAAGGTAAGGAAAGCAAGACACAGAAGTGAGAACGCTTGACCAAGTCAATTGTTCAGGTCTTTCTAACTCCCAAACTCAGATCCTTCAACTGTACTCTATTTCTCTTTCAGCTGAGGTGACTAGACTGGGTGAACCTTAGCTGAGCCTGGGCACAAAATGTTTCTCTGCCACCTTTTAATAGCTTCCAATACAACCCTCAGCAAGGAAGACTAGAACTTCTCCCAGCACTTTTTCATGCCCAAACTTTGTTAGAACCTTGATCCTAGGGCATTTGTTCTTCAGCGCATCATTGAGTTTATTAACACAGTAGCTATTTGTCAACAGTTAAAAATAAACAAGATTATTTTCCTCTAAAACCCTCAGATTCTTTTATCCACCTCTCCTTCCCTGATTCCTCTCCTTGCCCTCTCCTTTTACAATATAATAATATCTGAAATTACTGACTTATAACAACTGAAACTCTGATTTATACTGATATATATACCATGTCCTCTGGGTCTATTTTATCTTCAGGCTTAATTGTGGAGGGATAGACTTTGTTTGGTACACAATTACTTGCAAGATTATGATTCACCACAGATACTTTTCTCCCACTCCTTGCTCCCTTCATTCTTTCCTCCTTCCCCCTTCCTTCCTTCCATCAGAAGATTGGCCATACTGTTTATCCATGTTTTGCCTGTCTGTGTCATGTTTTCAAAAGTCCCACTGTCAGAAGCATCATGGTTTGAATAATAAATTATATGATCGTCCACACAGAAAGTCATTGATCTGCCTTCCTGGGACCCATGCATGTTTAAGGAATACTTTAAACCACTAAAGAAAAAAAAATAAAAATAAAAATAAAAAATAAACCACTAAAGATGTGTTTATATATGTGTAATTTTTATTGGAAGAGGATTTAAAGCTGGCAACAGTTTTGAAGAGGATGGAAACCTAAAAATAGCTATTTAATATTGTTTCTATTTCTGTCCTTTGCTGCTAATTGGTATTGAATTTTAGAGTCAGATACCCAACAAATAGAATCTGGTACCCCTCATCTTTTTCTACCAGGTTACAGATTATCTACTAGACTGTGGATTAGCTACCTTGGGGTCAGATGCAGTCTGCTGATCAGATTATCTCTGGGTGATCATAAAACATGGCTACCCATACAAAACTTAGGAGTTTCACTGAAAAGGAGCCATGAGAGTCTGAGAACAGTATGTGGGATTCCTAATACCTCATTAAACAAATATTTATTGAATATTACAATTATTCGGGGCAAGGCCCATGACGTGTATTGTGAAATAAACAGATGAATTAAGAATCTTGGCCTCAAAAAAGTGCAAACCACTAAAATGTCCATGAACTGATGAATGGCTAAATAAAATGTGGTGTTGAATTTAAATAATAAAAAATAAAGATAAATAAAAAGTGATAAATCTATATAATAAAATATTATTTGAAAAAAAATTATTTGGCAATAAAAAAGAATGAAATGCTAATACCATTCCAATTCAAATATTCTTTCTTCTCCATTAAGTTCTAGATGTTGAAAAGCAGTTTACTGGACCTAAGCAGGGCACATTTTAAGTAATTTATCAAAAAGAACCTCAGCAGTCCATTAAGCCTGATTTACATGCTGCTCAACTATATTATATTATTTCTGCCAATTTTCCTGTCAGCAGTTGAAAATCTTTTTGAGTTGGTTATCTAATAAAATTATAAAATAAAACTATCGCTTTATGAAGTATTATTGCCCCCCATACCAAAAAAAGGTACAACTAAAGCCTCCATAGATGCCTGATATTTTAGCCATAATTAACACTAGTATTAATTAAAAATTTATATAGTCTACAGAGATGATTGTCTTATGTGTCCTCTTTTGCTAATTTGAGCTACTTTTGCTGGAGGCAATTAAAATGTCTTGGAATTTCTATATATCAGCATTTAAACTATATCTCCCAGACTGCCTGGAAAGAAACAAAGGCTTCATGGACATGGAAAGAAATATTTTGGATAATATATACATTATTATAGATGTTTACTTTATAAAAGCAGTTTATAAAAAGCAGTTTTATAAAATTTAGAATTTTAAACAGATTCTATAGTTTAATAACTACTTTTTAATTAATATGTTTCAGTTTTGGAGGTGGTTTTTGGCAAACCTGGCTTCTGGTGGAGCTGCTGGAGCAACATCTTTATGTGTAGTTTATCCGCTGGATTTTGCCCGAACCCGATTAGGTGTTGATATTGGAAAAGGTATAGGATTTTTAAAATACTAACTTCCCCTTCTTTGTGTTTTGAGTGAAGTATTATTCATTGTAGAGTTATGCTATAATGACAACATGAAATACATTCTAAAAATCTTACTCTCAACCAAGTGGTAGAGTCATAGGGCCTAAAGATTACTACTTTTTTCTTTTCCCTCAAAAGAAGGAAGGTGAAGGCCAGTACTGCACTAACAAAAGAGCAAATACAAAGACTTCTTGTAACTCACAGTTTTTTCCTAGAGAGCCACTTTCTGTATTGCTCCATAGCTTATTCCTAATTCAACTATGGCTCTCTGGGTTACATATACAGCTCTTATCATACAGATTTCCCTTTGCCTCTGTCCTTAACTTATTTTGTCACATCTTCCTATGTTTTTGTTATACTCTTGTTTTGGTAGATTATGTTCTTTAATAGCTTTCTGAGCTTTTTTTTTTTTCAAGTAGATAGAAGACATTGAGATCTTGCAAGTCTAAAAATGTCTCTGTTTTACCCTTTTTCTTAATATTTGACCATATGTAAAATTCTACTTTAAAGTTTCTTTCACAATTTTGAAAGCATTTCTCTAGATTCTTGTTTCTGATATTGCTCTTAAGAAACTGATCCCTTAACTGCTGATCCTTTGTATGTGACTTTTTTTTCTTTTTTAATTACCTTATATCCCTGATCTTGATATTTCACAATGATCTATCTTTATGTGAAGCTTTTTTCAGCAATTGAGGAAGTAACTCGATTGGCCCCTTTCATTCTGGCACCTTGTATTCAGTTTTGAGGATGGCAGAGGAGTAAGTCACTTGGCTGCTCAAGAATCCAGATGCTATTTTGCTTTCACCAGAAGAGCAATACTTAGTTCCTCTAACAGTTATTGGAGTAAAATGGCTTGCTTTTCTCTCTGCAAGAACATAGGTTTCAGCTTTTTCTGCTGAGTTAACACTTCTCCATCTCCTTTACATCTTGCTAAAATTTGTGGGTTTCATTCTCTGCCATGTACTGTTCTTGCCTATATGACTTTAAACCTGTTGTAATCCTTTACCATTTTAGTAGAATTTCTTAAGAAAGCAGAGTCATTCAAGAAATACTTAATTCAGTGTCAGTGCCTGCTGTGATCTAGGCACCTCCTCAGATATAAGATGAAAGACACAAACCTAGACATCCGATATAAAATATGGAGTTCATGATTTATGTACATTATGGTCTAGGGAAAGATACAAGTAATAAAAAAATGAATGACAAAAATACACTAGCAATAAATGACATGAAATACATATTTAGGAACAGGGAGTGACATCAATTTTAGATAAGTGATTTAGAGAAAATGCCTCAGAAGGGGTAGCGGTTTGAGCAAAGATAAAAATATCAGTTCCATCTAACATGTTTAACTGGCAGTTTAAAATTTCTTATTATTGTTAAGAAAGTTACTAAAACTCCTGTATTGTGTTTTTAGTTCAGTTCTGTAGTTTTCTTTTCTCTCAGAATTGAGAGAATTTGGTTTATCTTGTAGATTATATTCTACATACAATATTTTTTTAAAGAGTTTATTTATTCATGAGAGACACAGAGAAAGAGGCAGAAACACAGGGAGAGGGAGAAGCAGGCTAGAAGCAGGCTTCATGCAGGGAGCCAAGGTGGAACTTGATCCCGGGTCTCCAGGATCACACCCCGCGCGGCACTAAACTGCTGCGCCGCTGGGGCTGCCCTACATACAATATTTTTTAAAAATTGTGAAGTTCTAGGTGAAGGGAAAATAAAAATGAAGCTAGCAGACACTGGAAAAATGACAACTCACCTAAAATGGTAATGATCCTAAAAATTACTAGTTTTTAGGTTTGTCTTTTTTCTGTATCTTTCTGCCTTTCAACTGAAGCAAGTCATAGAATTTTTCATTCCCAAGTATTTTCTGAACCCCAATTAGTAGCTTCTGGTAATTTTGTTGAAATGTTTTAAGCCAGTCAAATTGCTTGAATTAGATTGCTTTGATAAGAGATTGATATTTCAGTTAGAATTTTTTAGGATTCTGTTTGAAATCTTAATTCTCTTTAAACAGATGGGAGGATTTTTCATTTGTGTTCTTTTTTATTAGAAAAAATTTCTGAATGGCAGTTTCAGATACATTAAAACTAAGATTAATTTACTTTGATTAAAGTGTTTATCTGATATATAATGTTGCTAATATATCTTAAATGGCTTTATTTTAGGTCCTGAAGAGCGACAATTCAAGGGTTTAGGTGACTGTATTATAAAAATAGCAAAATCAGATGGAATTGTCGGTTTGTACCAAGGGTTTGGTGTTTCAGTTCAGGGCATCGTTGTGTACCGAGCCTCCTATTTTGGAGCATATGACACAGTTAAGGTAATTTGGGGCTTTTACTAATATATATTAAATACATGGTTTGTTTCTTTTTATTGTTTTAATTAGTAGTTTGTTCAGCAGATACGAACTTTTACCTTTAATTACAGAAATAAAAATAAATGATGAAATAAGAAACATAGAATTCTGTTAAATTATGACTTTGCCATAACCTTATTGAATTATAACTGTTATGGATCTGACTTTAGAAATAAAGCATAAACCCAAACATTAAATTTTTGTGCAGTTTGCAACTAACTATACATCGTGTTACAAATAGAAAAAATGCTAATTAGGCTTACATCATAATCAAATCTTTAGAAAATAGAAATGCATCTTCTAACAGTTTTTCTGATTTTACATTCATTTTATTATCACTTTCTTATAGGCAGATAATCAGCTTACTATCTCATCATTTTCGAAAGTAGGCAGGACATAACTAGTTAAATGTAATACATGCTACTATTTAGCATTTATTGAGTATTAGCTCAGTTATCTATTGAGTACTGTTAGATTCTGTATTATATTCTCCAGGATGTTCTGCAATTTGCCTTTTAGTTCCAGATTTTAACAGCATTTCCATAAAGTAGGAAAGAGGAAGATTGTAATAATGAGTACCATTTTTTGAGTTACTACTTAGTTCTAGGAACTTTGTCAAGTACTTCCTTGCAGTATCCTAGGATAACTTTTAATATCCCCATTGTGAAGAGAAAAAACCTGGGAATAGTTAAGTAATTTATGTTAAGTGACAAACAAAGATCCTGTGCTGTTACTTCCAAAAGGAAGTAGTGAAATTAATGTCAGTATCATTTACTAAATAAGATTAAAACTTAAGGGAAATTTTATGTTTTACACATTGTCTCTGCCTTCCCTCATTAATATAAATGTAACGGAAGGTCATTTTCATTGTGGTCTGGACATGTTACTTGTTTAGTTTCTTGTGTATTTTTTAGACAGAGTAAGTTAATGGAAATTAACAGGCTCTTATGCATGTTTATTTAGTCTTGGAAAATTTTATGTATGTTCTCCTTTTGCTTTTCTCTATTATCACCTGTAGTAGTTTTGAAATTTAAGAGTGTTACTTTACTAGCTTAGAGTTTTAGAGCTGCTTATCAAATACCTATTGATAATATCAGGCATGATTTAATTTCTTTTCAACTGTGTAAAGAAGAGCTATGAAAAAAAATTTTTGGTCACTGGCTACTATCTCCCCTAGTGTTTGCCGTTAATAAAAAATCTCTGGTGATAGCAAGTATGCTTTCTTTTTTCAGATATGCTTTTTAAAGTAAAGCCATGCGTGCCATATTTCTTTCTTATTGATCTCCTGATATCATTTTAATCTTTCCACATTAAATCCAAATGTGTTTTATTGTATTTTAAGTATAATTGAACACTCTTTCATTATAAGACTTACCCCTTGACTTGAGAATTTAAGATATTTTGAAAATTTACATGGTTCCTGGACATGTTTTTCTTTTCTAGGGCTTATTACCAAAACCAAAGGAAACCCCATTTCTTGTCTCCTTTTTCATTGCTCAAGTTGTGACCACATGTTCTGGAATTCTCTCTTATCCCTTTGACACAGTTAGAAGACGCATGATGATGCAGGTATTTTATTATTTGTGAGTTTAGTTGAATTTTCCAATATTTTTGATATTCAAGTATAATTTATTCAAATGTTAGAAAAATTTTGGCTGAAAGGCAGGTCATCTGTTTTACTTACTAAAATAAATGCATGATGTATTCTGTCTTACATCCTTTCCTACCCCAAAACAGCCATCATCCAGCAAAAGTTTCTTCCTCTTCTGTTATCAGAATAGAAATGCTTTCCACTCCTATTAACATATTGTTTGAAAGATGGAGGGGGGTGGCAGGGATTGGATTAGTACATCTATCCTAAATGAATATTAGGTTAAGTAGAATAAACCCTGTCACAGGTCACTGACGTATGTCATTATTTGTTGTAGTATAGTTTAATAAAAGTAAATAATTTTGAACTCCAAGGATGAAAACTTACTTTTTTCTGCTCTCTTTTTTTAAAGATTATATTTATATGACAGAGAGAGAGAGAGCACAGGCAGGGGGAGTGGCAGGCAGAGGGAGAGGGAGAAGCAGGCACCTCACCAAACAAGGAGCCTGATATGGGGCTCAAACGCAGGACCCTGGGATCATGACCAGAGCCAAAGGCAGATGCTTAACGGACTGAGCTACCCAGACACCCCTGAAAACTTGTTTAAAATGATCTATGTTCTAAATATAAATCTCCAGGTGCCTGGGTGGCACAGTCGATTAAGTGTCTGACTCTTGGTTTCTGCTTAGGTTGTGATCCCTCAGGGTCATGAGATTAAACTATGTGTTGAGCTTGTGCTCAGCATAAGTCTGCTTAAGGCTCGCTCTCTCCTTCTCCCTCTGCCCCTCCCCGCTGCTCACTCACTTGCTCTCTCTCAAATAAATAAAATATTTTAAAATAAATAAATATAAATCTCCAAGTCAAAATTTTGGTACATTCAGTTTCTATTTGTTACATTCATTTATTCAGCAAATATTTGAGTGCCTAATCTATGCTAAGTTATGGCAACACAAAATAAGATAGAACCTGCTTCCAAATTCATAGCATAGTATTGAATGCATACAGTTAATGCTTTAAATAGAAATGTGCAGAGCTTCCAGGAATCCAGTAGAAGGAGGATACCTAAAATGCTTAAGTGATCAGATGTAGCCCCTTGGAAAAGTTAAATCTATAAATCCATTTTTTTCTCCAGACAGAGAATTCTAAGCAGAGGGGAAAAATCATACATAGAGATATGGCTTGAGTAGTAGTTCAGTATACCTAGATGATATGTTTCATGAGGGCAATTGAAAATAATGAGGCTGCAAAGCTAGAATATTAATATAATACTTATTATGTGCCAGATATTGTCCTAAGTAGTGTGTACTTTAGTTACTATCAGTATCCTCATTTTATGTCTACACATTGGTCCTGGGAGAACCCTGTAGGCCACCTGAAGTGGTAAAGCATACCTATTATTACTTCACTCATAGACTATTTTTAAAGTTACTCCTTTTTCCTTTTACATGTGTGTTCCCTCTTGATCTGTATCTAACTCTAGTTTAATACACTGAAAAAAGTTTTAAATGGAAAATTAATTTGCATATAGACTATGGATTAGGTAAGTGGTACTATTTTGATGTCACATTTTCTAATTTTGATAACTGTATTTGAGTATGCAAGAAAATATTCTTATTTTTAGAAAATACACATGGAAGTGTTTAAAGGTAAGGGACATGATAATCTGCAACTTACTATCAAAATAATTCAGAAAAAAACTGTGAGCATATGGGATTTTAGATCTATGTGTATATTGCTAGGACTCCCATAACAAAGTACCAGAGACTGGATGGCTTAAGCAATAGAAACTTTTTTTCTCGCAGTACTGGAGGCTAGAAGTCTGAGTCAAGGTGTCCAGCAGGTTGATTTCTTCTGATGACTTCTCTCCTTGGCTGGAAGACAGCTTTCTCCTTGTGTCTTCCTTTGGTCCTTTTTCTGTTTCTCTTCTTATAAAGATAGCCAGATCGGATTAGGGCCTACCCTAAGGAGCTCATTTAATCTTAGTTACTTTTATAAAGACCCTGTCTCCAAATATAGTAACATTCTGAGGTACTGGGCATTGGAACTTCAATATATGAATTTGGGGGGGACACAGTGCAACCTATAATAGTACCTTAATTTTTGTATGTTCATTTTATAACCTGCAACTTTGTTAAACCCTATTACAAATGCTAATCTATATGTACACTTTGAAGTTGTATGCTCTTTTATTTACACATGTAGGTGTATAATATGTGAATAATACTAGGTTTCTTCCCCTTATCAATTCTTAAACTTTTTATTTCCCTTTTTTGCCTTTTTACACTGGCTGAGACCCGTGATTTAGTGTTATATTAAAGAAATAATAACTGGCAACCTATTTGCTAATCTTATAGGAATGCCTTCAAAATTACAAAAATGAATGTTAGCTGTGGGGTTTTTATAGTTATCTTTTATCATATTATGGCTATTTCTTTCTATTTTGGGTTTCAACAGTTTTTAATCATAAATGGTAGTCCTGTTTCTTCAGTATCCCTTGAGATGATTTCATTTTTCTTTTTTCATGTGTTAGTATTTTGCATTAATCTGTTTTCCAGAGCTAAACCAACCATATATGCTTAGGATAAACCCAGCTTTGTCATTATGTACTGTATTTTATATTTTTAGCTAGGTTTGATTTTCTAGTTTTTTGTTGAGTTTTGCATTGTGTAGTGACTTTGGCTTGTAGTTTTTCATTCATGAATTGTCCTATTCTAATTTTGGTATCAAGGTTATACAAGCCTTATTATATACTTGGGGAAATCTTCCACTTTTTCTTTTCTCTAAAATAACTTCTGTAAGATTGGAATTAAATGTTCTTTGACTGTTTAGTACAGCTCACATAAAAAGTCCTGTGGACATTTATTTGGTTTTCTATAAGAAGGATTTCAAACAACTGCTTGGATTACTTTAATGAATTTCATATATTATTGTAATGTTTTATTTTTTTTATCCTGTTGGTAAATTACCTTTTTTAAGGTATCTGTCCATCTCTTTTGAGTTATCAAAATAGTTGTGAAGTTGTTTGTAATATCTTGCTTTTTCTTAATCTCTGGAACATCTGCAGTGATGATACCTTTGATGTTTCTAATAATTTTGGAACCTTTTCTTGTTTTTCCTTAGTGTTTTTAAGAGATTTGTCGGTAAAGTATTTCAAATTACTAACTGACTTTGTATGCTTTCTGTTGTATTTATTTCCTATTTCCTTAATTTCTGCTGGCTACTTTCTTATTTCTTTCTTTAGGTTCATTCCTTTTCTAAAAATGTTTAGGTTGCTCATTAATTTTCAGCTTTTCCTTTCTGATATTTCAAAGTCACTAATTTGCTTATAAGTTACCATTCAAGCTGCATTAAGGAGTTGTGTGGTTATTCTTAGGTTTTAAGTATCTTCTAAGATGTGTATTTCTTATTATCTAATCAGTTGATATTTTTCTAGTTACCTTTTTTGCTGTCAGTTCCTCACTTAGTTGCAGTATAGTGAGAGGGTAAATCATAGTATGTGATGACCATCTTTTGAAATTTGTTAAGCTTAATATATGAAAAGTTTTCAAGTGTGCCAGAGAAGTATGAGTGTTCTCCAGCCGCTGGGTACAGTATTCAATATATGCCCATTACATACTTATTCAACACAGTGTTAATTTTATTTGTCCTCAGTACTAAAAAAAAAAAATACCTTAAGATGAAAAATATTAAAATAACAGCAAACTATTTGTTTATCTTCGTATAGAGTGGTGAGGTTGAACGGCAATATAAAGGAACTTTAGACTGCTTTGTGAAGATATACCAACATGAGGGAGTCAATGCATTTTTTCGTGGTGCCTTCTCCAATATTCTTCGTGGTACAGGGGGTGCTTTGGTGTTGGTACTGTATGATAAAATTAAAGAATTTCTTAATATTGATATTAGAGGTAGTTCATCAGGAGATTAAATTAAGAAATACGTATATTTAACTTGTTAAACATACAAATTACATAGCTGCCATTTGTATACAATTTGATAGTGTGTTATTACTGTCGGTATTTTTTTAGAATGCTAATTCTGCAATAAAACAGATGCCTTTTCAAGGATTTTAAATACTAAAAATCAGATAAATGTGGGTTTCTTCCTACTTAGACTCAAGCTTACTTTAATGAGCCATTTTACTTATAAGTAGTATATGTTATTTCTATTTAAAGTCCTTTTATTTTGTGATGAAAAATTAAAATCTATAATACTAAAATCTAAGAAATGAAAGTATATTCTTTTTAAATGCTCTTCTCTTAATATAAAGTCTTCCCATCTTTTAAAATCATATGACAAAAATATTTCTTAAAGCTTATCAGGAGATGTCATCATATTTATGGGCAGGGGTAAACTTTCTTCTACAACATCTCTATTAAGACAACTCAGGTATTACTATGTATAGTTTATGTTATCATATAGCTGTTATAAGCACAGATTCTAGACCTGATCATAAAAAATTGATGACTTTATGACACTGTAAGTATGTAGTTGGAAAAGAAAAGATATAAAATGGTGTGTCTGCTTTTATCTTTAAAATAAATAGGAGATCCCTGGGTGGCTCAGTGGTTTAGCGCCTGCCTTTGGCCCAGGGCCTGATCCCGGAGCCCCGGGATCAGGTCCCGCGTCGGGCTCCCTGCATGGGGCCTGCTTCTCCTTCTGCCTGTGTCTCTGCCTCTTTCTCTCTCTCTCTCTCTCCCTGTCTCTCATGAATAAACAAATAAAATATTTAAAAATAAATAAATAAAATAAATAAAATCTGGCTAATGTAATTTATCTTGTAATAAAAATATACCCTTGAAAATTAGTATACTCTGTATTGATAATAAAGTTTAAAACTGTTAATATATGAGGTTTTTTCTTTGAGTCTAACTTCACTAATAAGAGAATAACAAAATTTTTGGCAGAATTTGGAACTGACTTAAAGACAGAAAACAGCATTTCCAAGGTTTGTTACACAAGAGTCTGTCTTGTTTTTCAGAAATGTTGTAGAAGATAGTATGTTTGAAATCCCCAAGATTTTAACATTTTAGTGGGCAAAGAAATGTTAAGTTAGAGGGGATAAACTATAAAAAGATTTTGGAGGCTGTGGATTGTACAGAAATGGAGTAGTGAATTTCCTCATGCACAGAGGTACATTTTCGGGAAAATAATCTGGAATGTATTTTTTAATATATTAGTGTCATCAGGGGGAAAATAACTTTTGAAAATTCTCAGCCTCTTGCAGTTGTCCACATAATAGTGAAAGTTTTAGAAAAAAATAGAAAATAAATTCCTTTCGTTCTATACTATTGCAGTTGTATTTGCCATAACAAAAGGAAGATGACCCACAAAAAAATAATCAAATATTAGGAATAGTCTCCCATATAAAGATTAAGAAAATATAAAAGTTAATTTGTATAGAGACATGCTTAGAGGAAAGAAGTCTTTAAAATCTTGAATGGTGGCCAGCCCGGATGGCTCAGCAGTTTAGCACCGCCTTCAGCCCAGGGCCTGATCCTGGAGACCCCAGGAATGAGTCCCATGTGGGCTCCCTGCATGGAGCCTGCTTCTCCCTCTGCCTGTGTCCCTGCGCGCCTCTCTCCCTCCCCCCCCGCCCCCCGTGTGTGTCTCATGAATGAATGAATAAATAAATAAATAAATAAATAAATAAATAAATAAATAAAAATTTAAAAAATAAAATCTTGAATAGTTTGAATAGAAGTCAAACAGGAATTTATTAAATCACTAGACCAGAAAGTCTATGTTTTGAAGTTGGAAGATGTATACTTAGGAGAAAATGAAGTGAAATGTTACTTGGTATCCTGAACTGAGGTAAAACCCTATATTATGTTAAGCTGTTATTTATTATAGATTATTTAAAGTAAGCAAAGTAATAATGGAGATTTCACAAATAATTTTTTTATGTTAACACAAATGTTGGGGAAATGCATAGCTAAAGTGTATTTAAAATGTCTACAATTTTTCATCTTAAATTACCAATGCTTCTTGAGTAGAGGAAGAGGGTAGGAGTTTCTTGGGTAGGAGTTTTAATTTCCCACCCTAAAACTGTATGCCCCAAATAATTCCTGAAATTTCATCCTTTCAGTTCATCTTTACTTATTTCATTAAAATATATCTTCCATAAAAAAAGATAATCTTTTAAGTTTGTAGTTATTTACACTTAATAAAACTGTATCTCTTTTGGTGAATTTTACATTGTTTTCTCACAACAGACTTTGCTAGGAGAAAAAAAAAAAAGACAAAAGAGCAACAAAATATATGTATAAGAATCCTGAAGGCCCAGAGGAAATTTTTCCTGTTTTATATTCCTACTCTGGGTTGATGCTTTTTCATTAATAGAACTTGGGTACAATTGAATAAAACTTTTGAAACAGTTCTTTTGTTCATAAATGAACATTGTGCTACATAAATAAGAAATGATACATTTGTTCTCTTTAGCTGATTGACTTAAATGTAAATTCAAAGGAGCTTCTTTTCTTCCACAATTCTGCAGGGGCCAGTTCTAAGCTCTTCATACTTTCTGTGTGCTCTCTAGTTTATTTCTTTTATATCTTTAGTTTCAGATACTATCAATATGCCTGTTACACTCAAGATTTCTCTTTAGCCTGGCCCAGATTCCTTCTATGAGTTTCCAGATGTAATTCTGACTGCCTGTTGTATCCCTTTCTCCCCTACCACAGACTTCTCTAATCCAACATTTCTGGGACCTAATTCCATGTCTCAAATCAAAGTGGCTTCTCTTACCCTGACCCCTACTAGATTGATTAACAGTACACACCAATATACCCTTTCACCCACACTAGAAGCCTGGGGGGCCACCTTCTACTTCAGTCAAACAGCAAATAGACCACTTGCTGTTGTAAATTCTACTTCTAAAAAATTTCTTGTTTTTCCATTTTGACTGCCATTGCCTTGAGGATTCATTTTCAGTAATGCAAGATACTTTAATAAGTTCAGAAAGAGTAAGTTTCTGTAACAAAGAGACTCAAAAATACAGTGGTTTAAGCAAGACAGGTGGTTCTCTTAATAGTTGGGAGGTAAGCAGTCTAAGATATCAGGGTATGCTCTATAAACTCCTTCAGAGACCCACCTTCCTTCAGTCTTTTGCTCTAATCTTTTAGAGCAGGGGTTCCATTTCATGCCATGGACACCCTTGACAACTTAGTAAAGCCTGTGAATCTCTCCCTTTAATAGTTTTAAATCCATAAAATAAAATATAGAATTACAAAGGAAACTACTTGAAATACGGTTACTAAAATATGTAAGATTACAAATTTATCTTATAGTAATATATCCTTTTTAACAATAACAAGGTGTAGTGGTCTAATTACTATAATTTCACAGTAAAAATGACCATAAATTTTTTGAAATTATATATCCAGTAATTATAATGTGGTATGAAAATATCTGATTTCTATTGGTGGAGAAAATCACATACTATTAATAGTACCGTGATTTGTGGGGTGCCTGGGTAGCTTACTTGGTTAAGCGTCCAACTCTTGATTTCGGCTCAGGTCATGATCTCAACGGTTATGGGATTGAGCCCTGTCAGGCTTCATGCTCAGTGTGAAGTCTGCATGAGTTTCTCTCTCTCCCTCTGTCTCTGCCTCTTCACCCACTCTCTCAAATCTTAAAACAAAACTTCTCTAAAATAAAATCTTTTAAAAAAATGCTGTGAGTTGTGTCTATGTTCATAATTGAAAGAAATGTTAAATTTTAGCTAAAGCTTAGTTCAAGACAATCCCACCTTAATTCTGTCTATGGATCCCTTGGGGAATGGGGATCCCATAGGTAAAGAACCCCTGTCCTAGGGCATTGTACTCATTTGCATACTCAAAGTTGGGTCTCTATGGGGATCCCTGGGTGGCTCAGCGGTTTAATGCCTGCCTTCGGCCCAGGGCATGATCCTGGATCCCAGGATGGAGTCCCACATTGGGCTCCCCGCATGGAGCCTGCTTCTCCCTCTGCCTGTCTCTCTCTCTCTCTCTCTCTCTCTCTCTCTCTCTCTCATTAATAAATAAAATCTTTAAAAAAACAAAGGGCAGCCTGGGTGGCTCAGCAATTTGGCACCACCTTCGGTCCAGGGTGTGATCCTGGAGTCCCGGGATCAAGTACCACGGCGGGCTCCCTGCATGGAGCCTGCTTCTCCCTCTGCCTGTGTCTCTGCCTCTCTCGGTGTCTCTCATGAATAAATTTTAAAAATCTTTAAATAAAAAAAAAAAGTTGGGTCTCTGGCTAATCTGTGTTCCCACTCATAGGAAAAGGGAAAAATCAGCAGGTGGAAGTTGCACATGTTGAATATGCACATTGGTGAAATTTCAGTCACATGGCCATACTTAGTTATAAAGAGGGTGAGAAATATAGTCTGCAGTTAAGCAGCCATGTGTACAAGACAAAATAATAGATTTTTTTAAAGATTGTTTATTAATGAGAGAGACAGATAAGCAGAAACATGGGCAGAGGGAGAAGCAGGCTCCCTGGAGGGAGCCCAATGTGGGACTGGATCCCAGGACCCTGAGACCATGCCCTGAGCCAAAGGCAGATGCTCAACCACTGAGCCAACCAGGCATCCCCAAGATAATAGATTTTGAAGGGCAGCTGCCATAGTCTTCTAAGTGACCCTTGAGCATCCATTCTCACCTTGCTCTAATCCTTAACATTGACACCAAAGTATTTTTTAAACTTTCAATCTGATTATGTCAGTCTCCATCTATCTTAGTGTTTCTCAAACTGAAAAATTAAAACGGTTCCAGGACCAGTGAGACTCCTCAGGGTTCTAACAAAAATAACAAAATGTCTCTGGGATACTAATGTGACCCAGGGTACACAAAAATCCCTCAATAAAAGTAGCCTTAGTTAAGATGAATTTATGGTCAAAATATTATAAATCATATGAGGAAATAAAGCACTGTGTGGCAGAGTTGATAGGTAAAACAATCAAAATTTAAAACAATCAAAATTAGTATTCAAGAACTAAAAATGTGATAAAAGAGACTATAAAATTAACATTTTAAATGATAGATTTTTTTAAAGGAAGAGAAATAATGATAACATACAGTATGAAAAAACAGACAAGTTTGAAAATGAACATCTAAAAATGGTAGAGTCCTTCAGATTAAAAACAGATGGCAAAAAGAGGCAAAGAGTTATAGAGATTAGAATAAAGAGACCGACACATTCTAATAGGAGATTCAAAAGAAACTGAAAAGAAGGGATGAGAAGCAATAATCAAATGAATAATGTCTGAGACCTCTCCAGAAGCTTAAAAAAAATAATTCTCAGGTTAACAAAACTATCTGAATACATTTTTAGAAATCCATAACTAGGCACACCATAATTAAGCCACCAAATATCAGACAAAAAGACAAACCTATGACTTTCAAATAAACATTTAGTCCTCTCAATAGTAATGGAGAGTAGTATTCAAATAAATATTTAGTCCTCTCAATAGTAATGGATACCAAAAGATAAGGGAAGGTAACTGACAAGAATTCTACACATGGCTAAATTATTATTTAAAATTAGGGTAAAGAAAGATTTTTCAGAGAATAACAAACAGGTTAGCATCCAGAGACCTTTATTTAAACAATTACTGAAGGAAAACAACCCAGAAGGAAGGAGTGGGATGCAATAAGCAACAAATTGGTAAACCTAAATAAGCTTTGGCTAAAAGACTTTTTTTTTTTTGGTGGGGAAAGTGACTTAACTTGGTGAATTTGGGAATAATTTAGCCTCATCACTTCTCATGGAGCCTACAGACATTCTGGTCTAGTCTTGGATTTTTACAGGGATAGGTCTCAGTGTGGAATTAGGTGTTTTACTATAACTAAATAAGCCTGCTTAATTCTAGGGTGCAGGAATTACAAGCCTATAAAACATATATTTCCATAATACCAGTTTTATCAGTAATAATGCTGATATTTTTATCTCTATTGCCTCCTAGCTTATTTGTTCAAAAATTCAGATAGAGATTCAGCTAAAATGGTATCTAGAAGGAAATTTGTGGCTACAAATATATGTATTAGAAACCAAAGACTGGGCAGCCCCGGTGGCTCAGCGGTTTAGTGCCGCCTGCAGCCCAGGGCGTGATCCTGGAGACAGGGATCGGGTCCTGCGACGGGCTTCCTGCATGGAGCCGCTTCTCCCTCTGCCTCTTTCTCTCTCTCTCTCTCTCTCTCTCTCTCTCTCTCTGAATGAATAAATAAACAAATAAATCTTAAAAAAAAAGACTGAAAACCAATGAGCTAGGTGTTAAACTCAGGAGATTAGAAAAAGAACAAAGTAAACATAAAAATATAGAAGGGAATAATGAGCAGATGAATTAAAAAACAAAGATATAATAAAGAAGGCAAGAAAAACAAAAGCTGTTCTTCTAACAAAGCACTAGTAATAGGAAGTAAGAAAAAAAGATTCAAATAAACAATATTAAGAATGAAAAAGTGGATATGTAACTACCAAGAGTTTCAAAACTCGTAAGTGAATAATCAACTTTATGCCGACAAATGTGAAAACTTAGATGAAATGGCAAAATGTCACTAAAAATACAAATCAATATTGGTTCAAGAAATAATAGAAAACATAGACTATAACCACTAAAGAAACTTAATCAGGATCATAAATCTTCTAAGCTCCAACTCAAGATGTTTATAGGCTTATTTTACCAAAACATTGCCAGCGAAGAGAAAAAAGGAAATTTCTCAACTTCTATGAGGTCAATATAATCCTGGTATCAAGAAGATCAATAAAGAAAGGAAAATTTAATCTTACTTATAAATATAAATGTAAATAAACATTCTAAATAAAATAATCAAAAGCCAAATCCAATCAGAATGTCATGGCCTAACTGGTTTATCTCAGAAACACAAGGATATTAGAAAAATCTATTAGTATTCACCACATTAATAGATTAAGGGAGAAGAAAAAGGTCATTCCAATAGACAAATAACATTTGTTAAGTTTCAATGTCCACTTAGAAAAAACTTAGCAAACTAGAGGATAATTTTAACTTCTTACATCATAAACAGAAGTATTTAATGTTAGGCACAAGACAAAGATGCTTATCCCTCCGGCTCATATTCAACATATTCAAGAGTTTGGGCAACATGAGAAAAAACAAGAAGTGGAAGGATTAAAGAAGAAATTAGTCATTTCTCAGGCCTTATGGTTCTATGCACAGAAAACCGAAGAAACTCTACAAATACTAGTATTTATGAGAGTGCAGCAAGGTAGCTGTATACATGGCTCAATGTAAATAAATATAATTCCTATATTCTAGCAGCAGTTAGACATAACTACCATGTTTTGGCCTTTTCAGTGCCTAACCAGGCACTACTGTTAGGCTTACATTATTTCATCATAGGAAGAGTATAGTAGATATATTTGTCATCATTTTGACAGACTTTGAACCTGGGGCTTGGTGAATTAAGTAATTTGGCAAAGGTCATACTGCTGTAAGTTGGGTGAGCCTGGGACTACAACCGAAGTCTATGTGACCCCAAAGCTTGCCATGCTTTTAGCCACTAGATACTATGTTTTCCTCCCAGTAATTGTAAAGAATGTGATGCTAACCCCTTGCTGCTGACCCCAACTGTTTCTTTTTAATCTTAATATTCTTACGTGTTCTTTAATAGAAAAATTATTCTCACACCCTCAAATTTTACAGCCAATAAGCATGGATAAATAAATGGCCCTGGGAGAGATTCAGGATAATTCGGGGGGGGGGGGGGAATCTAGAGAGCGGCGGGCTCAAAAGGATGACAGAGGTAACTGAGGAGGAAAGGTAGAAGCCACGAGACGCCCTGTAGGCCTGGGGGCCCAGGGTTCCACCGGGGGCGGCGGTGCCCAATCCCTGCTGCGCTCACGCACTGCCTGCTGGGAGGCCCCTCCACCCAGGCTGGCCCCATCCCAGGGGACAGAGGACCGAGGACCGCACCGACCCGGAGCTCCGCGTCTTCCTGGGTGCTTGTGAGATGGGGAGAGAGATGAGGTTCTTCAATACAGAAAGTCTGGAGTCCAGAGCCTCCTACCGTTCTTCCCAGTGTCCTTAGTGTTAGCCTGGAGAATGGATTTCGCGCTACTCCTAGCCTCAGCCGCAGGGGCTCTCGTCACGTTTGCCGCCGCTGCTGTTGCCGCATTGCTGGTGGTAAAAAGTCTAAGTTCTTTGAAGAAGAGAACAAGCACGGACGACGGGAGCAGTAAAGAAGTGCACTTCCAGAGGGAAGCAAAGAGGAAGCAGGAGACACACAAAGAATCGGGTGGGACGGCCGAGGAGACCCTGGAAGGGCTGGGGGAGAGGGAACGGGAAGCCCACGAGGACGTGACCAAGGGGGAACGGGACAGCCGAACTCGGTAAGTGGACACCCTCATTCGGCTCCAGTGCACACGAGCAGAGGCGGGTCAGGACAAGGCCGGCGGCCGGGCCACGCCGGGCTGCGGCGCGGGAGGCAGGGCACAGGCGGCCCGGGAGGGTCATAGCGACACAGACCTCAGGGCGACCGCCTGTGAGGCTGGTTTCAGAGGTGAGGGGGAGCGCAGGAGGCTGCCTCTTTGTAACGTTAGGCCGCACGACGGGGAACTGGTCCGCGTCTCTCCTCTCCCGACAGCTGTGGTCCAGCGTCGCAGGGCCTCGTGAGGAGAAAACGGGACCCCTGAATGTGTCCGGCTGCCACACAAGGCACTGTGGCCAGTGACGTGAAACGGGCCGAAGGGGCTCCCTTCCCCGGGAACGGCGGCGCCCCTGCAGGCGAGGCGAGGCGGGGCGAGGCGGGGCGAGGCGAGGCGAGGCCGCCACGCGGCACAATGGGCGCCACCTCACAGAGCCGGGCGCGGCGGGCGGGCGGGCGGGCGGGCGGGCGGTAGGACCGCGCGGTCAAAGTGCGAGCGCCCCGGCTGGCGGCACATGGGCCCCTCGGGGCGGCGAGGCCGGCGGGTGGGTGCTGCGGCAGCCGGGCCGCTCGTGAGCCGGAGGGCGGAGGCGGCCAGCCCAGCGCCTGCCGGCCTCGGCGGCGTCCCGGCGCTGTGCCCCGCGTGACCCCGGGGGGCCCCAGACAGCCCGACCGCGGCGGCGCGCGCGGGGCCGGCGGCCGCCCGCCGCCCGCCGCCCGCCGCCCGCCTCTCACCTCAGCCGGCCGCACTTCTCCCCGCGGCCGCGCGATGGCGAGCCAACTGCCTTCGCCTGCCGTCCGCTCCTCCCGGGTCCTCCCCGCTCCGCCTCTCCCTCCCACCCCGCGGCTGGCTCGGCCGCCTCCATCTTCCAGATCTTTCTCGAACCCTCAGCTCGTCGGGCAGCCGTTGCCCGAGTCCTGACGGAAGCGGCCGAAGTCGAGGCGTGGAGCGGCCTCGGGCGCAGAGCGGCAGCTCGCGCACCTCCCCGGCGGCCGAGCGCGCAGGCGCAGAGCCCTGTAACTGCCGGTTGGAGGCGGTCGAGCCGCAGTGGGGAGAGACCGAGGCGGCGGAGGCAGCGGCGCCGGAGGCCTCCATCTCCTCCGCTGCTCCCGGACGCGCTGCCCTAGATTTACTGCGCGGCGACTTGGGGTCACCTCTCCTTCGCTTCTCGTAGGAGCCCCAATTCCTGGAGCAGCAGCTCAGAGAAGGACGCGGTTCCCGCGCGGGAGGCTTCAGCGCAAGTACCCCGACCATCGGGCGGCGGGATGTCTGTGGTGGGCATTGACCTCGGCTTTCTCAACTGCTACATCGCGGTAGCAAGGAGCGGCGGCATCGAGACCATCGCCAATGAGTACAGCGACAGGTGTACCCCGTAAGTGCCTTGGTTGATCACGACCCCGACCCTCCGCTGGTCCCGCCTGCTGGTTTCGGCCGCTGCGCGCCGAACCTTGTGATGACAGGTGCAGTCCATCAGCTGCAGTCTCTAGAGACCGCTGGTTGGCGGGCCCAGGTGGGAGCCGGACTTTGTCGCCCTGCAAAGCTGCTTTTCCTTAGAGGACGGGGGACTCCACTCTAATAGTTTGCGCATCTCCTTTCTGGACCCACACACGCCCACATCGCCACCCTGCCTCTGTTCCCCGGCCGGCCTGTTTTAGTTTTCGGAGGGTGGGGGGGGAGTCGGTGCAGACAGAACCACCTCTATACCCTGAACAAATCTCTAAAAAGGTGTGTGGTTAACCTCCCGTAGGGCTTGCGTGGGATTATCGGTCGCGGGCGGGTGTCTCCCTTCAGCTGAGTGAAGAATTCTTCCTTTTGCCCTTCCTCCCTTGCCCATCTCTCTCTGCGTGACAGCTTTCAGAAAAGTAAGAGATGAGAGCGTAAACTGCACACCTCAGAAGATGAGTCGCAGGTTTATATCTGGTCCGAAAGCCTTTGGGGGGGGGGGTGGCGGGGGGATAAATTGTTGAAGTGTTCGGGGTTTTACCCCAGTGTCCTTGAAAATTCGAGGTAATGGGACTGGTTTCCAGTGGCGTATATGAATGATGCATTACTAGGGAAGGAGTCGGGGATGGGAGTTGTTGGTCTCCTGTATTGTACCGGTAATGTACGTCCATTAATGGAAAGTGGTGCAGCCAGACCCTAGCAAAAGCGAATTTCTGCAGAATGAATTATAGAAGAATCAGAGGCCGCTGTCCTGTATAAACATGATTGTGGAGTGATTCTTTTATGAACACTTAATGAAAGACTCAGGAGTGGCATTATGTCATGGAAACATGTTTCCACACGTTCCATTGTTTCTCTGGTCTGGGAAGTTTGTTGGCAGAGAATGAGTAGACAAAGAGTAATTAAGACAGGTTTATGATAAACTAGCCTTTTATTGTGAGCTCCTGTTACCGGTTATTTTGTGAACAACTGTTCGTGGCTTAACTTGCTGTGGACAAGTAACGAAACATCTCGTTTTGAGCTTTAGATGGCCCAAAATATGATTACATAAATATGAAACTTAATTTTAAGATCAGTGTTAGGCCAAATTATAAAATTACTATGAGTTTATGAATAATTTTAAAAGATGTTGAGATGTTGAGTAACTTACTTGAAGCAGTCTGTGCTTTGGTTTCTTTCAAAGAATATTCTGGAAGGTTTTATAACACCTTTTTCTAGATATGTACATTCTGTTGAAATTTTGCATGTTTAAATTCTCAAATATGAGCAGGGGTCAGTTAATCGTCATAGTACTGTTAGAAGTTTTGCTTCAGGTCTTTTTCCAGCCTTTGTACACAATGAAAGGCTGAAGCAGTAATTGTGAACTGTTTTTATGACTTTGTCTGCAAGATCTGTTTGAAGCCCCCACAAGATACAGGCTGCCAGAAAAGAACCGGTAAATTCCATTGTCCTCTTTCAGCAGAACAGAGGTTAATGGAGGCAGTCTCTGCCTTCAGGGACTTAACCCATGGGAAAAAAAGAGAGGGGTAGGATGGACATTCCCCTAATCCTTAAAGCCTTATCCGAAAAGATCAGAAACAGAACTGTATGACCGATACTGCATTTCCGGGCTCAAAAGTCTTAGTAGTGAGTCCATGACTCTTTAAAGAACCTGGCCAGACTTACAGAGAGTTCTTTAAAAATTAGACTTCTCATTTTCATGTTCTAGAAGTCTCTGTTACTATTCCTACACACTTTGGCTAATTCTACGCATGTTGGCTAATTCTCTGTGGCTGAGACCGAATATATTTCTGATCTGTATGTAGCCACTAATACCTAGATTTAATGAACTTAATCCAAATTAGAAAACTGCTAAAGTGGGAGTGTTGTATTCTTACTTAGCTTGCATCAGCAACTCTGCCCTCCTTTTCGTGGATGTGTACTGTTATTTATCGTAGGATCTTTTATTGCTACTGAACTAATAATATTACTTCACTGTAGTCGGTTCTTACACTGTATTTTGTGGAGCTTAAATTATTGAGTGAAAACAGCTTTTCCAGATCCCTGGACCTTTGTTTATAGAATGCATATCTTGGAAAAAGTGTTACTATTAGAGAACTAGTAACCTTTCTAATCTTGGAAAAAGTGTAACTATTAGAGAACTTGTAACCTTTCTAATATACCACAGTATTTAATGATACATATTATAACTAGCTTTCAAAACTTTTTTCCCCTGTTCCAGTGACTGACATCAAGGTAATAAGACCTAGGTATTTCCCAATACTTGGTAAAAAGACCTTGTGGAAAGAGGAAGGAAATGTTCCATTTAGTTGGCTTTGGCATTTATGCTTTTTAAGGTTTCATTCCTTAACATACTTGATTATACATGGGAAGGTCTGGTGTATAAACTAAGGACAATTTAATGAAAAGATACTGGCTTAAGTTTTGGGCTTACAGTTAAGGGACCAAGAACAAGCAATTTAACCTATTCTTCAGATTTCCCTTCCGTAAAGTTGGAAGGCTTGTCCTAGCTGCTCTTCTCCTCTCATGCATAAATGGAAGAGGGAGAAGGAAACGAACATGCATAAGCTGGGGGGGTGGGGGTGAATGGGTGACGGGCACTGAGGAGGGCACTTGACGAGATGAGCACTGGGTGTTATTCTGTATGTTGGCAAACTGAACACCAATAAAAAATGAATTTATTATTTAAAAAAATGCATAAGCTGAAGAGGAAAAAAATTAATTTCAGAACATTTTCTTATTTAAAAGAATTGTACATGTTCATTGTTTAATGTAGGGACATTAAAAGATGAAAGTAAAACTTAATTCTCCATCCAGAAATAAAACTTCCAGGTGGTTTTCTCTGTGTTTCAGTGATAGATTATACTTTATATTTATAGTCTGTTTGGTAGCCTCTATGTAATACATTCTTTTATACCATTAGTTTCATTGTTTAATCCCATCCCTTCTTGGATAGTCAGGTGGTTTACATTTTTTATAAGCCATACTGCAATAACTGCCTTTGTAACCTAATTTTGACCCTTAATTCCTTCAAATAAATTCTTAGAAAACTGAGTAGGCACATTTTTGGATAAGTTCCTATTCTTCACTTAAGTATAGATGTGGGGATTGGAATTTCCATCCCAGGCTTAATTATATTAAAGTGATTAGTTTCATACATGGGAAAAGAAAACTGTAGCCAAGAACCTTCTTTCAGTGTTAGACTAAAGCATGTGATCAGCTAAAACATGCTGCTTTTGTTGATCATAGTGATTGCTATGTGACGAGTGTTGTGCTTCATTGTTATACATACTACATCAATTCTGTGAGTTAGGTAATACTAGCTTTTTTCAGAAGCTTAAAGCAAACTTCAGTGTTTTGACCAAGAACTTGTAAGCGATTAAACTGATTCAATTTAAGGCCTCTTTTACCCCAGAACCCCAATGTCCTTCCATTATCCATTGGTATAAGGATGATATATCCACATTAGGTTAATGAGGATATAACAATCAAAGGAACAAATTATCTGGCTGAGAAGCATCTTTGCTCTAGTATCAATAAATTCATCTGGTTTTTTTTTTTACTAGTTTCCAAGAAATATTATTTTAAAAATCAATAAATTCATCTGGTTCTTTTTTACTAGTTTCCAAGAAATACTATTTTAAAATGTTTTAATATGCTTTTAAGTTATTTTAAGAACATGAAAAAAATTAATAAAAATACATACCAAAACAAAACAGGTTAGTATAACTTTATGGAGGAAAGCAGTGTGGAAGGCTATAAACTACAATCTGCATATTTCTTGTAGGTAGATTAGGGGAGGTGTGCTTATAATACATAGTCTGTAAAGTTTTGAATTTTTATGAACATATTTTACAATAAGGAAAATGGGTTTTCTAAGTGAATGTATTTCAAGAGATTTTTCTTAGGTATATTTTATCAAAATTCTGTATGATCAGACTTAGTATTCAGTTCTCTGGTTTTCTGTGTTCATTTTTCCCTATTTCTTTACCTGTGTTTGAATAATCTGAAAATATGGGAATAGATTATTTATACATTACATTGGGATGTCCTCTTCAGTGCACACAGGTAGAAATCACTTATTTTGGGGTATTAAAAACAAACCTTTTTATACATAGGAAATGCCAACTCTGGAGGTTAATAGTGGCTATAGTTGGGTAGGAGCAGTTTTTATGGTAATAGCAGTTGGAGGGTAGGAGAGGAGGCTTTTACATTTTATTTAAATATTCTTTGTACCGAATGAATTGGCTTTGTGTATTTTATTATGAGTTTTTGTTAAACTTTGATTTAAAATATTTTAAATACAAATGGGAAAGTAAATCTCTAGCCCTTCCCAACCACCTTGTAGACTTTAATATGTGTGTTTCTAGTTTTATGCAAGTGTACGTGTTATAACTTGGATGTTTTCCTATTTGTTATAACAAAAGTAGAATTACGTTATATATATTTTGTAACTTTTTTTCAAAATATATTGTGGACATCTTAAACTTGTGGGTATGGTTCTAATTTACTTCATTTTTAAATTTTATTTTTTAATTTAAATTTCAGTTAACACACATTGTAATATTAGTTTCATGTATACATTTTAGTGATTCAACACTTATATACAGCACCCAGTGCTCATCACAAGTACACTCCATAATTCTGATCACCTGATTTAACCTACCTCCCACCCACTTCCCCTTTGGTAACCATCAGTTTGTTCTCTGTAGTTAAGAGTCTGTTTCTTGGTTTGCCTCTTTTTCTTTATTTCCCTATACTCGTTTGTTTTGTTTCTTAAATTCCATATACAAGTGAAATATGGTATTTGTCTTTCTCTGACTTATTTCGCTTAGCATAATACTCTATAGCTCCTTTGGGTAAATCCAGCAGTTGCTGGATCATAGGGTAGTTCTATTTTTAACTTTTTAAGGATCTTCAATACTGTTT